TTAAAATTTGTAGGTTGTGTGATATTTACAGTGCAACTTGTGAAAGGGGTCTTATTTAACAAGAGCAGTGGGGGGTTGGTGTGAGCGCTGACAAATTGTAAGCTTTGTGTTAATGGTTTTGTTCCGTGCTGGAGCTCTCGCTATTTTATTCTGTTAGGCGGTTCCAGCACTTTGCGGGACGTATTATGGTGGCATGTCTTGGCAATTTTATTGAGGGCTTAGGTTTGCCTTTTGTTTCATTATTGTAATGTATAATGTTTTTATTCCTATGTTTATCATATCTTCTGTGTGCTTTGTGCAAGGGGGTTTTATTGTACAGTGTAACAGGAGTGTATTGTAGGTTTAGATTCTGTTAGTGTATTTTCTGACCAGGTATTATCATGCTCTTTTCATTGTTAGGTGATGGTTTACCCTTCAATACGATATGATTGTAACACTTAGGGTCTGATGGGGGTTGACACTAGATCATTGTATTCACAAGTGGCTAATTATTGTGTTCTTTTATTTATTTATATCTTGTGTTGTGTCTTTTTCAATAAAATATAAAAAAAAAATTCAAACTGGCCTATATGCTCTTGGATCCAGGCCCAGGAATCCCATTTTGTTCTTAAGAATCATCCGCTTCACACGGTGAGGGCCTGGGTTCGATTCCCAGCCAGAGTAGAAACACTGGACGTGTTTCTTTCCACCTGTTGTCTATGTTCCCCATCAGTAAAATGGGTACCTGGGTGTTAGTCGACTGGTGTGGGTCGCATCCTGGGACACTGACCTAAGGAGGCCTGGTCACAGACCGGGCCGCGGGGGCGTTGACCCCCGGAACTCTCTCCAGGTAAACTCCAGGTACACATTGTAGAGCTAGACATAGGATCCTGCCAGCCTCAGTAGGTAGACAGTCTCTCCATAGGCACCAAACATTGTTAACTATCAATTGACAAGCTTGGATCAAAGGAATCCCCCAATAATTTACCATTTTCAGCTTGCTATTCATGCCGAACAGTATGGCTTGTTTTCCCCGAGGGGCTGAGCCGGCCTTAGGAGGTTCGGGGCCCAATTGGGAACAATTTTGGTGGGCCCCATGTATGGAAAGCAATCAAACTGCACTTAAAATATGCATGCAAGTTAATATCCAAACAGATGTAACCTACATTTTAATATACAACTGCATACATGCAAGCCTATCGCCTCTGAAAAGTAGTCACAATACCACTTGCTTTAGTGACTGAAATGACTTATTAAAAATATTAATTTTTGTTCAGAATAAAAATCAATTTAAGTGCATGGGTTGGAAACAAATTATTTTGTCTGGACTTTAAAAATCACTTAACATTCATAAACTAAAACTTTCTCAATAAGAACATAAGAAGGAACACTGCAGCAGGTCTACTGGCCCATGAAACAGTCACTGGGAAATTTGCCAACATATTATATCCAAAGCCCCCCCCCCCCCTTTTTTTTTTTTTACTTCGTGTTGTTCTGTGTACTTGACAAGCCAGAGCAGATTTATTGGGAGCAACAAATCCAATCGACCGAGGGGTCTACCTATCTACCAGGCTGCTGGGGTCACCCCAGCAGCCTGTGGCCCATGATCGAGCCTCAGTGCTTGATCAACCGGCTGTTACTGCAGGTAGCAATAGGCTGTTTAATCAATTTACTTGACTATTCCAGGACATTACCTATAAATCACAGAACGGGTAAGAACATGAACCGTAACAGGCGACACTGGCAGGCCAGTGTGGTTGGTACACTAACCTACCAATTTCATGTCTTTCCTGCCATGGGTTAGAGTTCCACCAGTTCTGCGACTTTCACAATAGTGTTATTACGATCTCTCGAGTACACTGTCTCTATCTGATGGGTCTTTCCAAGAAATCCAAGAACACTATCTGCATACAAAGGAAACATAAACTTGACCCTAATGAGAATATCATTCGAGTAAGAAATGTAGTGTGAAGCGGGATACAATTAACCTTAAGAATTAAGTACAATAACAGCTTTGTGACGTTATAAAAGTAAGATTCATCTCGCCACGTGTTGTTGGTACATAACGCTAATAACCAAAAATTATTTTTTTTTAATTACGCACAATCGTCAAAAAAAAAATGCAAAAGATTTGCAAGAATAAAAGCTCCTATTAATGCTTAAATATTAAAAGTTGAATACATTTAAAAAAAAAAACATGAAAAATATGGCGGGTGCTGAATGCTAAGTGCCGTGATGAAAATACTGAAAACCTCGCTAAAAATCAATACAACAATAACAAAACAACTAGAAAGCAGCGGATACTGCATTGTACCTTCTTCTGAACCATGATGAAGACCTCCTACTTCCCTATCAGAGTTAATGAGAGCACAATCAGCAGAGGCAGCGTCTTAGTAGTTGTGCTGTTGGAGGTGCTGAGAGAAAGACGGAACAGCGCTCCAGCAGCCTCCCTCAACCTTCACTCACATATTTCTTGGTTCTTTCCTCTAATTTACTCGCTCTTGTCATTTTTTTTCTTCAATACACAAGTTTTAGTTTTATAAGTTAAATCTTTGGTTATTTTTGTATAGTAAACATCGGGTATTTGTGTTCTTTCCTCTTTTTAAGGGAAAAGATAACGTGAATGTCCCACCTCATAACATGCCGCCAAATTTAAAAATGTTGGTCTTCAATTCAAAGTTTATTCTCTATAAGGATTACAATGCTGAGTTTACAGAATTTGGTTATTGTGTGGTTTACATGTAGTAAAATAATAATTACAGAGTGTACCACTAGAACACCTAGCATGGCTAGGCATTTCAGGCAGACTTAGTTTAAATCTTAATTTTAAAATATTACAAATTATGAGGTAAGTTGGTATTATGGCTAAGTGACTAAATACTAGTTTTGGGTTAATTAGTTTATTTAGCAGTATAACCATAGTAACATATGTGTAAATTACCTAATATAACCCCGCAAAAAAGTCAGACAAAGTGACTTATTTCCATTGGGGTCTTTGTAATATCTTATTATTTAAAACCTAGCAGTAAGTTACAATAGAAATCAGTCATGATTAAACCTTGAAAGTTAAAACAACTAGGTAACTCAACTGTGTGAAAATCAGTTACAATAAAACGAGATGCAATAGAAGTAAAGTAAACTGAGTTATTTACATTAACAATAAAGAGAGAATCATCTTACAATACAAGAAATCACTCATTTCCCTTTCTGTAGCTTCATTCATTAGGTACCTTGTAGTTCTCTTCTTGAACTAGCTCATGTTAGGACAAGTTTTGACATGTGCAGGCAATCTGTACCACTCCTTTATTGCTGTGCAATAAACAATGTTTAAGGCCTGATCACCTACTTCCCTGGTACCATACTGGTTTTGGTTCCTAACCTTAACATATCTGGTTATTGAATGTTAAAGACTGTTTATTTATTTATTTATTTATTTATTTGAACATGATACAGAGAAGTACAAGGAATACAATTTTTAAAGTGCAGCATACCAAAGCCCCTTGTATGCAGAACACAGAACCCACAGGCATAACACCAGACACAAACATCTCTACGACATTCCCCGTGTCCGACATACATTACAAAAATTCAATGTATGTCAAAGGCCCTAAAATCTGGAACACCCTACCTGAGAACTCTAGAACTGCAGACACATTCATCACCTTCAAAACTACCACTAGAAAACATCTTATCTCCCTGATACACCCCGTCAACTAACTACACGAATACCACCTGGTGGTTCACACTTACACTCACTCACCCATTTGACCATAAACAGAAATATTAATCTCAATCTTAAAATAATGAATCCTGTGATACTCCAATACTGAAACTATGTACTGTGCCAAAACAAAAGCATTCACATTGCTAAACTCACAAACTAGTATTTAGTCACTTAGCCATAATACCAACTTACCTCATAATTTGTAATATTTTAAAATTAAGAATTAAACTAAGTCTGCCCGAAATGCCTAGCCATGCTAGGCGTTCTAGTGGTACACTCTGTAATCATTATTTTACTACATGTAAACCACACAATAACCAAATTCTGTAAACTCAGCATTGTAATCCTTATAGAGAATAAACTTTGAATTTGAATTTTGAATTTTGAATTATGTAGAGAAACTGAAGTTATATCTCATTTATAAAACTGCTCACAAGCAGTGTAGTCTAAGTAAATAACACAAAAAAAAGTCAAGACAAGGTGACTTATTTCCAATGGGGTCCTTGTGTATTCCCAGAACACACACAGAGGAGCACTGAACCCGTAGTGATCATACAGCACCCTGGGAATGAGAGTTAATTATGTTTGATCCAAGAAAGGCGAGAATGGTGCTAAACGTCTGGATCAAGAGCCTTCATTAACATCAAGCCATCCCATACCAGAAAATCTATAAATCTGAAAACTTCTTTCTGACTTCTTAATGGTTATTATTATTATTATATTATTATTATTATTATTATTATTATTATTATTATTATTATTTTTTTTTTCAACAAGCTGGTCGTCTCCCACCGAGGCAGGGTGACCCAAAAAAAAGAAAGAAAATCCCCAAAAAGAAAATACTTTCATCATCATTCAACACTTTCACCACACTCACACATTATCACTGCTTTTGCAGAGGTGCTCAGAATACAACAGTTTAGAAGCATACACCAGGAGGCCTGGTCACAGACCGGGCCGCGGGGGCGTTGACCCCCGGAACTCTCTCCAGGTAAACTCCAGGTAAACACCGGTTGACTATGTTCACCCATCAATAAAATGGTACCTGGGTGTTAGTGGACTGGTGTGGGTCGCATCCTGGGACAAAACTGACCTAATCTGCTCGAAATGCTCTGCATAACAAGGGGCTTTCTATATAGTATTATGTTATTTATGTCAGCTATGGCCTGTATACCTTGTACATGTACTTGTAGTAAATAAAGATTTTATTATTATTATTATTATTATTAGTAGTAGTAGTAGTAGTAGTAGTAGTAGTAGTAGTAGTTGTAGTAGTAGTAGTAGTAGTAGTAGTAGTAGTAATAGTAGTAGTTGTAGTAGTAGTAGTAGTAGTAGTAATATTAGTTGTAGTAGTAGTAGGGCTTAATACAACGTAAACTGTGGTAGCCCTAAAACTCCCAACAACAACAATAGGCGGGTGACTTCAAAATTTGAGTAAGCTATTGTAGTCCCATAAATAAAAACAAAATTTTATATCAGTATGCAATAGTGTACATTAAAATGTACCGCTCCATAATCTATGTCAGTATAGAGTAAGAATTAGGATTAGTCTGCCCGACTAGGCATACTAGTGGCCTTTGTAATTATTTTTTTTATTAACACATCGGCCGTCTCCCACCAGGGCAGGGTGGCTCGAAAAAGAAAAACTTTCATCATCATTCACTCCATCACTGTTTTACCGGAGGCGCGCTTACACTACAGTTATAAAACTTTGTAATTAATATTGTATAATATGTAAACCACACATTGTAAGCTATGCAAGGAAATAAACATTTTCATTTCAGTATTTTCCTTTCCAGACACAAGGAGTCGAGGCTCAATACAGCATCATCTGTGGTGGTTTTCTTAATTTCTAACAAGAACAGGTAATAAATTAATATCAACAAAAACGTTAATTGTAGTAGTGGTGTCAGTCAGAGACCTTACCTCTACCACTACTACTTCTCCCACCTCTCTCTTGTCCCATCCCTGCCAGCTGGCTTAGTATATATTGGCTTCTCATTTTTTCTGTTAGTGTGACTTTGTAAATGGACCAAGTCAGACCGAAACATCGCCGTAAGCTCCTCTCTTCTACGTGCAGATTATTTGTGTGTGTGTTGTTCTGGTCACAGTATTGTGCCTTTTTGTTCTTTACATTAGGACAGGTTTGCTTTTGTGTGTGTGTATGTGGGTTATATACTGTTTACATATTGTATCTTTGTCAACTATCTCCAAATGGGCTTAAAATTATGCTTATCTATTGTAATTAAGAAATTACATTTAATAATGTTTCTTTGATATACGTATACTGAATTATATTACTAATTCTCATTATATAATTTGTTTTTCTTCTTCAGAACCAAGCACGTTTACAATGATAAATGAAGATGGAGGAGTAAGCCACACTCTGTATACTGTGTGTGGGGGCATAAATCCTACTGACTTGAATGAACATAGCTTAACTTGTGATTAAGCTTATGTCAGACTTCACATATTCTGTTACTCAATCCTTGTCTTAAGAATTATTTATTAATCTATATGGTGCATGTAGTATAGGATACAGTATACTATACAGTTATATTGCTTATTGTCTTTTAGCTCATTTTACAATTAGACAAACGTACTGTACTTAATTGTAAAAAAAAAAAAAATGCCACCAGAAAAAAGCACAAGTGATCAAGCTTCAGAGCAGGAGGAGGATGATGAATCTGACAACATGGAGCCAAAATTCAAAGTTCCTCGCAAAAACCCGGGAGAATATGACGACCTACATTGTCAGATTCAACAAACACGAGCCAGAGTGAAGGAAAAAGAGGAAAATCTTCGTAAGCTGAAGTTGGTCAAGATGTATCGCACCAAGTGGGAGACACAGTCCCTGGAGGAGGTAACACACCAGTGGCTACGAGTATGTCAAGAAGCTTTGGAAGAACTAAGAGATAAAGTAAATAACCGAAATACTGGAGAGGAAGTGTTGACCCTTCAAGCACTAGTAAATAAACTTGGCATTGATGCACATCTTATTAAGCTTAATGAGCATGATGATTGTTTTAATAAATAATGAAGGTCTCAAAATACTTTTTACAATATGTATATACATTACTGACCTAAATTATTTGAATACACTACACTATATTTCCTTACAATATAACTGTTTCTTGGTACTATATAAAATAAGTTTTGTTAACTAATGTATTTTGCACCACAGCATTAGTTAATAATGTTTGTATATTGTATGTATATACTGTAGTACTGCATTGTTGATGCTGAAATTTAACTTTTCCAAATTCTTCTAATAGTTTTACAACATACTATAGTAATTCATTTAATAATTTATAGTTACTAAAAACAACAGACATAGCCCCACTCCACAAAGGGGGCAGTAAAGCAACAGCAAAGAACTACAGACCAATAGCACTAACATCCCATATCATAAAAATCTTTGAAAGGGTCCTAAGAAGCAAGATCACCACCCATCTAGAAACCCATCAGTTACACAACCCAGGGCAACATGGGTTTAGAACAGGTCGCTCCTGTCTGTCTCAACTACTGGATCACTACGACAAGGTCCTAAATGCACTAGAAGACAAAAAGAATGCAGATGTAATATATACAGACTTTGCAAAAGCCTTCGACAAGTGTGACCATGGCGTAATAGCGCACAAAATGCGCGCTAAAGGAATAACAGGAAAAGTCGGTCGATGGATCTATAATTTCCTCACTAACAGAACACAGAGAGTAGTCGTCAACAGAGTAAAGTCCGAGGCAGCTACGGTGAAAAGCTCTGTCCCACAAGGCACAGTACTAGCTCCCATCTTGTTCCTCATCCTCATATCCGACATAGACAAGGATGTCAGCCACAGCACCGTGTCTTCCTTTGCAGATGACACCCGAATCTGCATGACAGTGTCTTCCATTGCAGACACTGAAAGGCTCCAGGCGGACATCAACCAAATCTTTCAGTGGGCTGCAGAAAACAATATGAAGTTCAACGATGAGAAATTTCAATTACTCAGATATGGTAAACATGAGGAAATTAAATCTTCATCAGAGTACAAAACAAATTCTGGCCACAAAATAGAGCGAAACACCAACGTCAAAGACCTAGGAGTGATTATGTCGGAGGATCTCACCTTCAAGGACCATAACATTGTATCAATCGCATCTGCTAGAAAAATGACAGGATGGATAATGAGAACCTTCAAAACTAGGGAGGCCAAGCCCATGATGACACTCTTCAGGTCACTTGTTCTATCTAGGCTGGAATATTGCTGCACTCTAACAGCACCTTTCAAGGCAGGTGAAATTGCCGACCTAGAAAATGTACAGAGAACTTTCACGGCGCGCATAACGGAGATAAAACACCTCAATTACTGGGAGCGCTTGAGGTTTCTAAACCTGTATTCCCTGGAACGCAGGAGGGAGAGATACATGATTATATACACCTGGAAAATCCTAGAGGGACTAGTACCAAACTTGCACACGAAAATCACTCACTACGAAAGCAAAAGACTTGGCAGACGATGCACCATCCCCCCAATGAAAAGCAGGGGTGTCACTAGCACATTAAGAGACCATACAATAAGTGTCAGGGGCCCGAGACTGTTCAACTGCCTCCCAGCACACATAAGGGGGATTACCAACAGACCCCTGGCAGTCTTCAAGCTGGCACTGGACAAGCAACTAAAGTCAGTTCCTGATCAGCCGGGCTGTGGCTCGTACGTTGGTTTGCGTGCAGCCAGCAGCAACAGCCTGGTTGATCAGGCGCTGATCCACCAGGAGGCCTGGTCACAGACCGGGCCGCGGGGGCGTTGACCCCCGAAACTCTCTCCAGGTAAACTCCAGGTAATACAGAAACTTGTTTTAGTACGTATATCCATTGAATAGTCATCTACTGTGAGCGCCAACAGTGTTGCAAAGATGGCCATAAACCAAGGCGAAGTCTTCAAGAAAACAGTAGTATGTTTATCATTAACAAGGACCAATGACTTTGCTAGCAAGCATACAGGTCTCCAGTAAGAGGTGCAGGGAAATTTTGGTTTGATCTTGGGAAAGAAAGCGAAGCTTTAATATTTCAAGTCAAGTGCTTTTTACCACAGAAAGGAACCCCTTGAAGGGAAGGGAATGAGAAGAATCAAACATATTGGATTGCTTGCTTTATGTCTCATGGGTTAAGCACATTTTTTTAATATACTGTACTATGATAATCTTTCTGTTAACTCCTATCTTTTAAGAGAGAATAGAAGATTCATTGTCTGCAAAAGTTTTAAAATTGTCATATGGTGTGGCTCTAGCTCATCATGTAGATGAAAGTTCCTCTTCAGTCTTATTGCATATTCCTGCATGACCTACTGTCCAGACCCTCCTGTGATGCTCTCCAGTTCCTTTGATAGTGCACAAATGTTTCCAGGTAATTTGTTTAGCCAGGTAATGCCTATTTTGTCACCTGTATCTTCCACTAATCTTCCCCAGAGTCATATTGCCGTCATTACTGTGATGGAGGCAGAGGTTAAAAAGACCTTAACATTAAACCCTAATATATAGTGGTTCACACCCTGCCTTAGTTTTCACCTCTGTCATGAGTCAAATGTTCTGTATTATGTAAAATTATTTTACAACTTCATCATGGCAATATATTTCTAAATAAAGTGATTTGCACTATTTATTTCAGTTCTCCCAAACAAGTATACCTATTCATGCACAAAATATTAGCATTAGTTATATACAAATTTTTTCAATATCACAGGCTTCAAAAATGCACTGTCTTAGAAGAAGAAAGAAGGAACACTGCAACAGGCCTACTGACCCATGCAGAGCAGGTCCATGTCTCCCCCCAGATTATCCCAATGACCCACCCAGTCTGGTCATCCCCACTCAAGGATGGAGCACTGTACCAGACCCAGCAGCAAAGCTAGTCAGGTCCAACTCACACCCACTCATGTATTTATCTAACCTATTTTTAAAACTACACAACGTTTTAGCCTCAATAACTGTACTCGGGAGCTTGTTCCACTCATCCAAAACTCTATTACCAAACCAGTGCTTTCCTATATCCTTCCTGAATCTGAATTTTTCCAACTTGAAACCATTGCTGCGAGTCCTGTCTTGGCTGGAAATTTTCAGCACACTATTTACATCCCCTTTATTTATTCCTGTTTTCCATTTATACACCTCGATCATATCTCCCCTAATTCTGCGCCTTTCGAGAGAGTGCAGATTCAGGGCCCTCATTCTATCCTCATAGGGAAGATTTCTGATACATGGGATCATCTTTGTCATCCTCCTTTGTACGTTTTCCAGAGCATTTATATCCATTCTGTAATACGGTGACCAGAACTGAGCAGCATAGTCTAAATGAGGCCTAACCAAGGATATATAGAGTTGAAGAACAACCTGAGGGCTTCTATTATTTATACTTCTAGATATGAAGCCAAGAATTCTGTTAGCTTTATTGTGAACACTAATGCACTGTTGTCTTGGTTTTAGATTACTGCTAACCAGAACTCCTAAATCCTTTTTGCAATCGGTAGTATTAAGATCTACATTATTTAGTTTATATGTGGCATGGTTATTTAACTGTCCAACATTTAGAACTTTGCATTTGTCTATATTAAACTGTATCTGCCACTTCTCCGACCATTGCGTCAGTCTATTCAAATCATCCTGGAGTGCTCTAATGTCCTCATTAGAATGAATTGGATGGCCTATTTTGGTGTCATCAGCAAATTTGCTTATGTCGCTATTTATTCCCTCATCTATGTCGTTTATGTAAATTGTGAACAACGGGCCCAACACTGACCCCTGAGGAACACCGCTTGTGACGTGCCCCCACTCTGATTTCTCCCCATTTATGCAAACTCTATCATCTGGTTATATTTTGCCAAAGATCATCATTACATTCATATAACACCTGGAAATGGAAACGAGTTGGGTTTGATCTATGGAAGAAAGGACAGGTCTGGTTCCTTGAATTAAGATTATTATTATTATAATCATGGGGAAGCACTAAACCCGTAGAATTATACAGCACCTGTGGGGGGGAAATAGAATGTATTCAGGCTTAATTCTGGGAACTGGAGCACAGATCCAATTCCCTAGATCAAGAGCCCCTCACCAGCATCAAGGAACCTCCCTTGAGGGGCCTTGAATTAAGAGCCTCTCATCTACATGAAGATACCTCCCTTTAAGAAAGTCTTATTTCAAATCACATGTATATATGTGACACAGAATTATTCATTTCAATACAGGTACATATTTTATACCCCCAGAGGGGTTTAGTTCCAATCTCTCGTGTGATCTATTTGACCCTTCAAGATGGATATCAGTGAAGTGCTCTTAGTCATAGGAATTAGTGCTACGTTCCCCTTCCTTAATACTGAATGACTACTACTCATTTCCCAGATGCTATGTGAGCTTCACAAGGTTTAATACTTGGGCAACATTCCAATTTTATTCACATCTTAGCCTTGTTTGAAAGATTAACCACCCATGCTATGGCTCTGCATCCAAGAAAATACTGAATAGTGAAAAACCTACAAGTCACTCATTATATGACCATACAGGTTCAGCATTTATGTTTAATGTATTTTAATATAATTTAAAGATGAATGTGCTTTCTTCCTTGGGTCACCCTGCCTTGGCAGGAGACTGTTGCTGAGGTTATAAAAAAAATCACTTAATATGCAACCATTTATTGTGAATTTTTAAAAATATATCTGGCTCAAAATGGAAACAACAAATACTGACAATATAAAACTTGAAAATATACAGTACTGATAATTTCCAAAAACATTATACACTAATGATCCCTTAAAAGAATACTATATTTGAAATAATTATATATAAAGTTAATACAATATCACAATATTCCTTTCTTAATATAATATAGGCTGGCAATTACACTACAGTACAGAGGATAAGCTTTTAAATTTAGTATAGATAATACAAAATTGTAAGATTAATATATGTATGCCATAATTTATGATTAAACTGTAAATAAGGGATTGAATTTTGACAAGTCATCTGACCTGCATGTGATTTTTTTTTTCCCTCACAATGCTGCTCTGGGTATAATCCATGTGGTACTGAAAACGATAAATAACAAAATGTACATACATATATTCTGGATGTCTGGCATCAGTATTTAATAAGCTTTTAATCCAGCATGCTTCCCTTACTTACACTGCACATTATTTTTATTTATTCTTTTTAATGCTCATTGAATTTTCAGTTACTAAACCAGGCCTTATTTCAGTCATTATTTAAAATTTGTGTATTTTGTCAGAAAATTAATTTTGTAAAGTACATACAGTGTAGTAAATCCTCACTTAACGTCATTTTGTTATAACTATAAAAAAAATTAATTCCCGGCCAGGGTCATTGTCAGTGTGGAGTTTGCACATTTGTCTTTGAACTGTGTGGTGGTAGGAGGTCCTCCTTACAATTTTTGCTCTGCAAACATTTATACCCTAATTAAACCCTGTTGAAATGAGTGCTAAAGGTGCACTGTACACCCCTGATGTTTACATCAATTAGCCTATGGTAAAATTGGTTTCGTTATACATCATTTTGCTTAGAGTCTCAGTTTCCAAGAACCTATTGACAACATTGAAGTGAGGATTTATTGTACTCCTTTTTAAAAATGAAGACAAATGAACTAGGTTATTTCACTTGTGTTGGTCTGCCTTGGTGGAAACTGACTTAAATATACAACATACTTCAGTGGCAGACAGATGGTATAAAAAAAATTAAAAGCTATAAGTATAAATTGAATGCATGATGGTGAGGGTGTTTCTTTTTCGGTTCACCCTGCCTTAGTGGGAGATGGCCAGTTTAAAAAAAAAAATTGTAAATTTAACATCCTTTAGTTTCAGGTTATAATTTGAAGTGTAAGAGACCACAGTATAGAGAGAGAGAAACTAGTCACATGGTCTACCTAGAGTATTATAATCCAAGGAATTGAAGCTGCCCTCCCCTTCCTCAGATCAAACCTAATTGCCTTTCATCCCCAAGCACTGTATGACTTGCAGGTTTAGAATTTCCCTGTGACCGAGAAAACCAAAAATGGTAAAAAAAAAAAAAAAAAAAAAATAAACTATGCACTTTTCCAATGGTTGTGCCATCAATGGAACAGTTTAACCAACTAACAATTGAAGTTAATTTCTTAAATAAAATATACAGTATATATATAAATTAAACAAACATTAAATTAACCTGTTGTATAATATCAGTATTCCAAATCTTTCTCCCACAAGAAAGCATCTAAAATTAACTTTCATACACAACTTATAAGCTTACATAGGCACATTCGTAATTACACAAGTTTGAACAACCTACCCCTCTAAGGGGATGTTTGGATGTTGGTGAAAAACTCTTGATCAAAGGAACTGGAGCTGTCCTCCCATTTCTTGGATCAAACCTGATTACCTCCCATTCCCCAGGCACTGTATAACCCCTATTGATTTAGCACCTCCCCATGAGTATTATAGTTTAACCTACTTAAATAATAAATGCTCCCTCCTCTACAGCACCATAAAGTTTACTACTTATATCAATTACTTTCAAACATTTAAGAAAATTTATTCTTGCAAATAAAATTGCTCTTACCACTGCTCTTTTACATACACTTGAAACCTTTCACAACTTACAAGAACAATCTTGCAATGTGCCTCTCCTACCATTGTTTTTAACATTTAGATTTACATAAGAAAATTTTTAGTGTACACTATATTGGGTCTGGCATCATAATCTAGTACTACTGTATTGCAAGTCTAGTATCAAGATATTCACCCACCTGGATCAAGCATAATTATGTTTTATTGATATTCAGATTTAAATAATCATAAAAATCTATTTGTTGTGGCATCATTTCAATGTACCACAATCAATTCAATTATACCTGTACCATATATGATCACTGACAATGTACATAGTCTTGCTGCCACAGTACTAGAGTTTTCCTTGAAGGCGCTGGATGACAGTTTCAGGCTGAGGAAGGAAAATTAAGTGATAAGGGTCTTACTAATACTACAAAAAATAATTCTAGATTCCTTGGAGTGTTACAACCATCTTGTATAGCCAAGTTAACAGGTATAACATACAGGTTCAAAATCTATTAAGAATTTCTTGCAAATGAAATGAAAATGTTCATTTCCTTGCAAAGCTTATAATGTGTAGTTTACATATTACAAAATATTAATTACAAAGAAAACCACTAGTATGTCTAGGCATTTTGGTGTTTTCCCATCATATGAAAATAATAAGCATTGGATTTGTAGCTCTTAATAAATTATTTGAATTATTAGCATTTTAAAGTGTTTCCTTTATGTATATTAACCACTTCACTGTCTGCACCATAGTACTACTAGTTTGAGGTCACTGTCCATGCTGTAGTAATACATCATGAGCTCAGCTCACTCAGATAAGCAGCAAGCGGTAAATCTGGGTCTAGATATAAGAGAATGGGTCAATGCACTGTGCACCATATAAAAATAATCCTGTCCCATACAGTGCATATGGTTTATAATAGTGATTTTGCAGTGTATTTTTTGGATGTTTTATGGTTGTATTCTTGGTCTCATTTGATAGAATGGAAGATATGTTACAGAAATAGACATGATTTTGATTAGTTTCAGGACTGAAAGCAGATTGAAATTAAGCTCAAAGTAGCAGGAATGTTCTATTTTTGCTGAAATTCCAGAGTAAATAAATCACCTTGTTTGTTGGTCTAATATGCATTCACAAATGTGCTGACATTATTTATACAATTATTAAAATAATGCATAATAGTAAATCTTCTATTTTTGTGTGAATAAAAATTCAAAATGGAATTCATGTGTAAAGCCTGGGAACATTTAAGCATATATGACTATCTTCATTTAAGATATATGACTATCTTCACCCTGTCTTGGTGAAAATAGTCACTAATACTGTATAGTTATGAAACAAAATTTCTTATACAAAATGCAAACCTTGTTAAATGGTGCCTCTTCAAGGAGGGTAGATGTGATTATGTTGGTGAATGGCTTTCAATCCAAGAAATGGGTACTACCCTCCCTTTCCTTGGATCATACCAGATTACCTACCATTCCCTAAACACTATGACTTGTATGTTTAGTGCTTCCCAATGAATAATAATTTTTTTTTTTTTCAACAAGTTGGCCGTCTCCCACCGAGGCAGGGTGACCCAAAAAAGAAAGAAAATCCCCAAAAAGAAAATACTTTCATCATCATTCAACACTTTCACCACACTCACACATTATCACTGTTTTTGCAGAGGTGCTCAGAATACAACAGTTTAGAAGCATACACATATAAAGATACACAACATATCCCTCCAAACTGCCAATATCCCAAACCCCTCCTTTAAAGTGCAGGCATTGTACTTCCCATTTCCAGGACTCAAGTCCGACTATATGAAAAAAACCGGTTTCCCTGAATCCCTTCACTAAATATTACCCTGCTCACACTCCAACAGATTGTCAGGTCCCAAGTACCATTCGTCTCCATTCACTCCTATCTAACACGCTCACGCACGCTTGCTGAAGTCCAAGCCCCTTGCCCACAAAACCTCCTTTACCCCCTCTCTCCAACCCTTTCGAGGGCGACCCCTACCCCGCCTTCCTTCCCCTATAGATTTATATGCTTTCCATGTCATTCTACTTCGATCCATTCTCTCTAAATGACCAAACCACCTCAACAACCTCTCTTCTGCCCTCTGACTAATACTTTTATTAACTCCACACCTTTTCCTAATTTCCACACTCCGAATTTTCTGCATAATATTTACACCCCACATTGCCCTTAAACAGGACATCTCCACTGCCTCCAACCGTCTCCTCGCTGCTGCATTTACCACCCAAGCTTCACACCCATATAAGAGTGTTGGAACTACTATACTTTCATACATTCCCTTCTTTGCCTCCATAGATAACGTTTTTTGACTCCACATATACCTCAACGCACCACTCACCTTTTTTCCCTCATCAATTCTATGATTAACCTCATCCTTCATAAATCCATCCGCTGACACGTCAACTCCCAAGTATCTGAAAACATTCACTTCTTCCATACTCCTCCTCCCCAATTTGATATCCAATTTTTCTTTATCTAAATCATTTGATACCCTCATCACCTTACTCTTTTCTATGTTCACTTTCAACTTTCTACCTTTACACACATTCCCAAACTCATCCACTAACCTTTGCAATTTTTCTTTAGAATCTCCCATAAGCACAGTATCATCAGCAAAAAGTAACTGTGTCAATTCCCATTTTGAATTTGATTCCCCAAAATTTAATCCCACCCCTCTCCTGAACACCCTAGCATTTACTTTCTTTACAACCCCATCTATAAATATATTAAACAACCATGGTGACATTACACATCCCTGTCTAAGACCTACTTTTACCGGGAAGTATTCTCCCTCTCTTCTACACACCCTAACCTGAGCCTCACTATCCTCATAAAAACTCTTTACAGCATTTAATAACTTCCCACCTATTCCATATACTTGCAACATCTGCCACATTGCTCCTCTATCCACTCTATCATATGCCTTTTCTAAATCCATAAATGCAATAAAAACTTCCCTACCTTTATCTAAATACTGTTCACATATATGCTTCAATGTAAACACTTGATCTACACATCCCCTACCCACTCTGAAACCTCCTTGCTCATCCGCAATCCTACATTCTGTCTTAGCTCTAATTCTTTCAATTATAACTCTACCGTACACTTTTCCTGGTATACTCAGTAAACTTATTCCTCTATAATTTTTACAATCTCTTTTGTCCCCTTTCCCTTTATATAAAGGGACTATACATGCTCTCTGCCAATCCCTAGGTACCTTCCCCTCTTTCATACATTTATTAAACAAAAGTACCAATCACTCCAACACTATATCCCCCCTTGCTTTTAAAATTTCTGTCATGATCCCATCAGTTCCAGCTGCTTTACCCCCTTTCATTCTACGTAATGCCTCACGTACCTCCCCCACACTTACATTCTGCTATTCTTCACTCCTAAAAGATGGTATACCTCCCTGACCAGTGCATGAAATTACTGCCTCTCTTTCTTCCTTAACATTTAAAAGTTCCTCAAAATATTCTCGCCATCTACCTAATACTTCCATCTCCCCATCTACTAACTCCCCTACTCTGTTTTTAACTGACAAATCCATACTTTCCCTAGGCTTTCTTAACTTGTTTAACTCACTCCAAAATTTTTTCTTATTTTCATTAAAATTTCTTGACAGTGCCTCTCCCACTCTATCATCTGCTCTCCTTTTGCACTCTCTCACCACTCTCTTTACCTTTCTTTTACTCTCCATATACTCTGCTCTTCTTATAACACTTCTGCTTTGTAAAAACCTCTCATAAGCTACCTTTTTCTCTTTTATCACACCCTTTACTTCATCATTCCACCAATCACTCCTCTTTCCTCCTGCCCCCACCCTCCTATAACCACATACTTCTGCCCCACATTCTAATACTGCATTTTTAAAACTATTCCAACCCTCTTCAACCCCCCCACTACTCATCTTTGCACTAGCCCACCTTTCTGCCAATAGTCGCTTATATCTCACCCGAACTTCCTTCTCCCTTAGTTTATACACTTTCACCTCCCTCTTACTTGTTGTTGCCACCTTCCTCTTTTCCCATCTACCTCTTACTCTAACAACAATAATTAAATAGCGTACACCAAGTAAAACAGATTGCCGGGAGTAAGAGAAAAAAAAGGGGGGAGGAAAAAAGATCACTGAGACAGAAAAAAAGTCAGTTATTCTATAACTATAAGAGAAAAAAAGTAAACTATAGAATAATTATAAGAGAGAAGCACCTACCTACACTGTTCATAGCAAGCTTAAGTTTATAAATAGCTTAAAATAGCTGAACCTTATTTTCTGAAGTTGTGTAAATCATAAAAAGTAAACCTTCATGAGGTCATTTATTACTAATGCAGGCTGATCATTACTTACCGATACAAACCAAAAGGAACCAGTCATAAATGCTCCTCGTGCTATAAATCCCATCTCGTTCTCAGGTGCAATGACATGCAAGTGCAGGTGACTGATTGAGTGGAAAGGAGGCCAGTGAAAGCCCATCCTAGCTGTTTCTGGAGACCCACCCTGAGCAGTCAATACTTCTTTGCCTATCAACACCATTTTCTCGACTAAGCAAAGAAAAAATGGGGAACTGAATAAATGTCAAATCCTAGAAGCAAATAAAACAAAAAATAATCACATTAATGTATATTCACTAAAGAAACTCACCCTCTAGTCACTGCCATTGAAACAATGCATAAACTCAACAGCTTAACCATACGATCAAATTTAGCCAATAATATCACTTGCCCAAACAATGTTACAAGTTATTTTGCAGACAATTTCTCTAACTACTTGTACAGTATTATACTTATCTCCAACAATTTAAAAAAAAAGAAACACTTTCACCATCATTCTCACATAATCAGTCTTTGCAGAGGTGCCCAAATATGACAGTATGACATGACAAATATGTACAAACATTCACCTACAAAATAAGTGCGTGTTATATGGGTTCAATGAAAATATCTTTGTCTAGCTGTATTTTGCCAATACATGTATTCCTAATGCTATCATATAAAATTCATTCAAGAAATAAATAATAGTGCACATATAATGGTAATTTTTTTTAACATATTGGCTGTTTCCCACCAAGACAGGGTGACCCAAGAATGAGGAAACACTTTCATCATTCATTCCATCACTATCTTGCCAGAAGTGCACCTACACTACAGTTAAAAAACTGCAACATCAATGCCCCCACCTTCAGAGTGCAGGCACTGTACTCCCCACCTCCAGGACTCAAGTCTAGCCTGCTGGTTTTCCCTGAATCCCTTCAGGAATGTTACCTTGCTCACACTCCAACATGTGAAGTCATTTAAAACCATTTGTCTCCACTTGCTCCTATTCAACATGCTCACGCATGCTTGCTGGAAGTCCCTCGCACACAAAACCCAATTTACCCCCTCCTTCCAACCTCCCCTAGTCTGACCCCTACCCTGCCTTTCTTCCACTACAGATTTATACACTAATTATTGTTATTAAATATTTATAATTCTATTTTTGTACTAAGGCAGGCATGGATATACTAAAAAATTATGTATCAAACCCATGCCTTGTAGCAAAGGGGTCATCCTCATATAAAAGGTCATTACAGTATTATGATGTGAGATCAAATGAAAGTCATTCTTACATGAGAGGTCACATCCAGTGAAACTAAGTACATTTTTAGATAAATTCCTTAAGAAGAGTAAAGAACTGAGCAAATCCTGTAAGTACTGTAATTAACCCTTTGACTGTCGCAACCCCCAATCCTGAGGTGTCTCCTGGTGTTGCAAAATTTAAAAAAAAAAAAAATTTTTTTTTCTTATGAAATGATAAGAGAATCTTTTCCCGATTGTAATGACACCAAAAAAAACGAAATTTGATGGAAAACTGATGGAATTATGCTCTCGTGAAGTTAGCGACCTCGGTGCTGTTTACAAATCGGCAATTTCGCCCACTTTGAGCCCTATTTTCGGCTAATTCCATTGTTCCAGTCGCCCAAACTCATAGCTATTTCTTTAGAACTCCATTTTTTCTATTGATTGAGTACAAGAAACTGCCCATTTACCGATTTCAACTACCTAATAATGTGGTCAGAAATTTGCAATTTGGCCAATTTCACGAAAACTAAAAAATATGACAATTTCAAAATAAGGTCCAGAATGAACAATGCAGACATTCCTGGCTCTAAAATAACATTTTCTTTGCTCATCAGTCATGTCTCCAGGCCCTCTGATATTACTCTTGCTTTCTATTTTGAATTTTCATTCAAACAAAAAATAGAAGACTTACTATTATGCAGACTACTGCAATACTGTAATAATTGTATAAATAACATCAACCCATTCATGACTGCATATAGAATGGCTAGTTGGACATTTATTGGACAATGTCATCATTTGTTTACTTTTGAACATTGGCAAAAATCAAACATTCCCTACTTTGAGCTCCATTTCTAGGTTCTTTTTATAGTAAAATCAATCAAAATCACCTCTATTTCTATAATATGTTTTCCATTCTATCAAATGAAACCAAGAAAACGAGAATACAACCATAAATACTATACGAAAATAGACCACAAAGTCGGCATTTTAATTAAAAAAATCGGTCGGAGTTTTTTTTTTCTCATTATGCACTGCGTGCTCCAGGATTTTTTTTATATGGTGCACACTGATCACACAGACCCATTCTCTCACATGTGGGCCTACCAGCTTTCTCCTGCTTGATTTGAAGCCGCTAGAATTTATGAGTATATATACGTCAAACACGGTACCTCGTAAGACGTATATATACGGCCGCGACAGTCAAAGGGTTAATAATACAGAAGCTTTATAAATCTAACATATACAGAATTACTGTAATAAGATAAATTTATTTTAACTGAAGCAGACTTTAGTAAAAAAAACTTACCCATAGGTATATGTTCCTTCTTAAGGCTTTTGGCATCGACATAGTGATGACGTGTGAGAATCAGATAGTGATGTGGTGCTGCAGGCCGCATATCCGGAAAGACCACAAACTCTTCATCCTGCCATAAAAGGAAAACATTATTAATCTATCCCTTTCCAAATTAAAGATAAACTGTGCCATGTTGTACAATAGTGGAGAGTTTATCTCTACACTATACCGTTCATATTTTAATTCAACATTAATGAGTGCCTTAAATCAAGACTACTGCTAATATTTTAAACATTCTATACACATTATACAGGAACACTGTAGTTTGCATAACAAATCCAGCAAAATTAACTGTATGGTTTATAAATATACTGAATTATTTTTTAACCCACATAAACGATCTTATAAACAATAGAAACCACTAACCTGATACACAATGTTAGTTGGCTGAACTCCATCACAAATTTTGCAGAAAATGCACTTTCCTCTCTCCTCTGTCTGGGTAGGTTGTGAAGTTTGTGGAGTTTCTTTAGATTCTGTACTCATGTTTCTAGCACAATACTGAAAGATACACATTATCTAGATCAATATCAGAGAGGAGAAATCAGGTAGGACTGATGCCACAAGCATAGGCAAGTAGGTTAACTATTAAACTACCACCATTAAAAGAACCCTATACAGTACACTGTATAACAAATGCTAACTTTGATGCAAAGTACCGTAACATTTAACTGTTAGTGTGACTACACAGCCAGCTATGGTACACTAGTAAATTATATTTTCTAACCTACGTATTTTCACTCTGAAAACATCATCCCTTCCAGGAAGGTACCTCGAAGCTGGTGAAAGGCTCTTGTTCCAAGAATTGGAGCCACCCTCCCTTCCCTTGGACTGAATCTAATTGCCTCCCATTTCCCAAGGTGTTGTATGACCCCATGGATCATACAGTAACAAATAAATCTGAAAACACATTTACCAATACTGGATGTAAAGGCATAGACTCAACAGGTTTGATTATAACAACACACTGCACCAAAAAAACTTGTATCAAAACTACATTTCACTTTGGGTTCACTTTTATCAAGCGATACAGAGGATATATTTTATACATACATCTATTCATTGAAAGTGAAGCAAGAATAGTATGCCAGATGTTGATAATGCAGATAGTTGAGCAGTGTGGTCAGCCTATTGGTCTATTATTTAGGTTTGAATTGTTGTGTATGTTAGGTGTTTCCTATGCAAGATAATGTATAACAAAGATTTTTCTAGACTGAAAGCACCCTGATTTCTGAAGACAGTGCTTGGAATCAGTGATCACCAACACAAAGACACTAGTGAACAGAACAACGATGCTTTCAATCTAGCAAAACCCATGGCACACATTTATTTTACATGGGAAACACCCAGCTAAATAATGGACTAGCAGATCGACTGCTGCATCGTTTGACCTGCTTCCATTATAAGAGTCTTCCATTCTCATGTCTATTATAATGATAAAGCTCCTGGAGGGTAAAACATTAATAATACCCAGGTGTTAAACATGTATTTTATTATCAACTTATAAAATAAGTCAAATGCATGTCTTATGACAATAATGGTGTTAAAGCACACTGATGTTACTGAGTTATCCTAAGTTAAATTCTACATAACATACAACAATTGTAAAATATTAGTTAAGTATGAGGTCTCAGTAAAAACTGACTTATCACGTTTCATGAGACATTAATCATAAGTTGACACTGCTGAACATGAAGCGATTTTAGTAAAATATATTTAATGCCAGAGGGGATATGAGCGAGGTGTATAAATGGAAAACAGGAATAAATAAAGGGGATGTAAACAGCGTGCTGAAAATTTCCAGCCAAGACAGGACTCGCAGCAATGGTTTCAAGTTGGAAAAATTCAGATTCAGGAAGGATATAGGAAAGCACTGGTTTGGTAATAAAGTTGTGGATGAGTGGAACAAACGCCCGAGTACAGTTATTTAGGCTAAAACGTTGTGTAGTTTTAAAAATAGGTTAGATAAATACATGAGTGGGTGTGGGTGGGTGTGACCAGACTGGGTGGGTCATTGGTCTAATCCGAGGGGGGGAGGGGGACATGGACCTGCTCTGCATGGGTCAGTAGGCCTGTTGCAGTGTTCCTTCTTTCTTATGTTCTTATGACAAACTAACACTTTTAAGGGGAACATTAATTAAGGCCAAGTCCACACCCTTCCTGTGGAAGGTGATTCACGAAAAGTATCATATATATATGTCTAAGAGCTGAGCATCATCTTTCTGTTAGCCATGCAATTTACAGCAGTACTGAACTATTTAATAAAAAGAGCAACGGGATTCAATGAGAAAATTAATGTAATAACTTACAGTCAAGGCTCCGGTGAGAGCATTTAGGTTGTGTTGTTGGAGGGTAAAGGCTACCAGAGAGTGAGCTGTATTAACCACCTCAGTGCCGGTACACAAAATATACTATACAATAAAAAAAATTATTTCTTTATGTAATAAAACATTTGTAGGCACAAAAGAAAGCCACTAATTATACAATGCATTTCGGGCAAACTAATCCTAATGATTAAATGTTACTTAAGATCTACACAGATTATTAAGCAGCACTTCTTATACAGTTAATTACAACCATAGTTACAATAAGAAAGGTAGCTAATTAACAAATTGTTAATTATAAAAGTATTACATATCATTTCAAACTCATTAAATGATCTTCACTTTTGTGGACTGAACAGATATGAAGACGCAGCAAGTCACTTAGTAACAAAAGAAATACAATGAGACGAGAAAAAATAAAGATAACAAGCCTAACAAGATCACAAAAATCATAGATTATTATAATCAAAAAGAAGCGCTAAACCACAAGGGCTATAAAGCGCTGCAGGGCAGGAAGGAAGCGAGGGGTATCAGGTGGCAAAAGGGAGAGGGATGAGTAGTAGGTTACGGAAATCATAGAACTGATGAGGGAGGAAAAGGTGAGTACTGAACTTAGGAGTCTGTGGAGACAAAGAACTTTGTCCATGGAACCAAAGAAGGGAATGTATGAGAGTATAGTTATACCTACGCTCTTAAATGGGTGTAAAACATGGATGGTGAATGTTGCAACAAGGAGAGGGCTGGAGGCAGTGGAGATGTAATGTCTGAGGGGAATGTGTGGTGTGAATGTAATGCAGAGAATTCGTAGTTAGAAAATTAGGAGGAGGTGCGGGATTACCAAAATTATCATCCAGAGGGCTGAGGAGGAGTTGAGGTGGTTCAGACATGTAGAGAGGATGGAACGAAATAGAATGACTTCAAGTGTATAAATCTGTAGTGGAGGAAGGCGGGGTAGGGGTCAGCCTAGGAAAGGTTGGAGGGGGTAAAGGAGGTTTTGTGTGCGAGGGGCTTGGACATCCAGCAAGTATGCGTGTTTTAGATAGGTGTGAATGGAGACAAATGGTTTTTTAGAACTTCTTCTGTTGAAGTGTGAACAAGGTAACATTCGTGAAGGGATTCAGGGAAACCGGCAGGCCAGACTTGAGTCCTGGAGGTGTGAAGTGCAATGTCTGCACTCAGAAGGAGGGGTGTTAATGTTGCAGTTTTATAACTGTAGTGTAAGCTTGCCTCTGGTAAGACAGTGATGGAGTGAATGATGAAAGTTTTTCTTTTTCGGGCCACTTGGAGAGGGTTTTGGGGGTCAGCGCCCCTGTGGCCAGGTCTGTGACCCTGCCTTGGTGGGAGACGGCCAATGTGTTAATAAAATATATACGTATATGCAGTGGTACTGAGTTTCGTACAACTCTCAACTCGAACAATTATGTAAGTGTATTATTGTAAGTGTTTTTGGGGGTCTGAAGCGGACTAATCTAATTTATATTATTCCTAATGGGAACAAATTCATTCAGTAATGGCACTCGAACAGCCTTCTGGAACGAATTATGGCTGAAACTCGGGGTACCACTGTATATATAATTGATTCCAATCTCCACAGAAAATCTGGACAAAATTAGTTTAGTTGTTAGTTTAATATCTTTATTATGCACTCCATACCCATCCTGTGGGCAGCAGTCATATAGATTACAGATGTACATAATGGGTCCTGGGACTGGGCTGCAAAGTTCTGATAGCTGAACAAGTTACAAAGGTACTGCACCAGTTTAGTTGTGCCACCTGACATGTTAGTTCCTTGTGCAGCCACAGCTCATCCTGTGAGAGGTAGCGCTAAAAACAGTACGTATTACAAACGTCACAATTGGTCTTTATCAGACCCCAGTGAGCACTGTTACATCACAACAAAATACATATAAGCCATTTTACACATTACAATTTATTTACATAGATAACATGCACAATACAATATGAATACAATCTCAAAAAAATTAAGTAGCCAATTACCACTAAAAAAATTTATTATTAAGGTTGCAATCTCTTCAAAATCAGCTTTCATCCATATGGCACAAAATGTAGATTCAATCTCAGAATTTCATACTCATATCCCCACCTCCCCAGGGTTGGTGGCTGATTGTCCACGAAAACCATGTATTATTATTATTATTTTCATGGGAGAGGACAAAACCTGTAAGGGCTATAAAGTGCCTGGGGAAATGGAGGGGTCAATCAGATTTGATCCAAAGAGAGGGCTTGTAGCCCCAAATTCCTTAGGTCAAGAGCCCTTTGCCGGTATTAAGGCACCTCCAGTTAATGATGAATGGACAAACCCCATTCAGAATGTGTATAGGACACCTTGCTGTTTGCCTGTATCATCAAAAACTGAATGACCCTTACAAGTTGAATGCTTCCTCGTGGACAATGATGTAGTAGTAGTAAAATAGTAATAATAATAATAATAATAATAATAATAATAATAATAATAATAGTCCTAGGTAGCACGTTGGTAGATAGCAACCGCCCAGGGAGGTACTACCATCCTGCCAAATGAGTGTAAAATGAAAGCCTGTAATTGTTTTACATGATGGCAGGATTGCTGGTGTCTTTTTTCTGTCTCATCAACATGCAAGATTTCAGGTACGTATGTCTTGCTACTTCTACTTACACTTAAGTCACACTACACATACATGTACAAGCCTATATATACACACCCCTCTTGGTTTTCTTCTATTTTCTTACTAGTTCTTGTTCTTGTTTATTTCCTATTATCTCCATGGGGAAGTGGAACAGAATTCTTCCTCCGCAAGCCATGCGTGTCGTAAGAGGCGACTAACATGCCAGGTGCAAGGGGGCTAGTAACCCCTCCTGTATAAATTACTAAATTTAAAGAGAAACTTTTCTTTTTCTTTTTGGGCCACCCTACCTTGGTGGGATACAGCCAGTTTGTTGAAAGTAGTAGTAGTAGTAGTAATTAGTTATAATAATTGTAGTAATAAGATAGTAATATGATGAAGAGCCCTTCACTGGCATCCTAGTAGTAGTAGCAATAATAATAATAATCCACCTTGTAAAGTTAAACCCAGGCACATCATACAACTAACTCCAGTAACCCAGGCACATCATACAACTAACTCCAGTCTTAACAAGTTATTCAACACAGTGCCCTTCAAGGGGTATCACTTGATACTGGTAAAAGGCTCTTGATCCAAAGAATTAGAACTACTCTCCCCTTCCTCAAACTTTATTACCTCCCATTCCACAGGTACTCCAAGACTGCTACAGGCTTAGTATTTCCTTACTAAATTCATGGGAGGAGTTCTCATCCCACAGAGATCATCCAGCACATAGGGAAAAAGGAGGCAGTCAAGGTCCATCCAAGGGAGAAGTACATTTCTCTACATCAAAGCCAGTTACTGGTATCAAGGTACCTCCCTGGAGACAACCTATGATTATAATGAAATCCATAGTGGAACACTTTGATATCACCCTACTGATATGTCCCATCCTGGCTGACAAATTTCATTGTGCTATTTGCATCTTCAAGGAGGATGGGGGGAGAGAATTGCCTTAGATGAGGGTGGAAGACTTGATTTAATAAAAGGGAGTTTCTTTTCTGTTTTATCCTCCAAGAAATTGGAGCTGCCCTTCCTTACCCTTTGTCAAGTCAAACCTGATTACCTTCCATTCCCAGGCACTGTATGACCCTTTCCATGTTAATAATAATCCCTTTCCATGCATCAAACCTGATTACTTTCCCATCTCCAATCACAGTATGACTCCATAGGGTTTAGCACTTCCCTAAGAATATAATACTGTAATATTGTAGTAATTTTGGGCTTTAGATAAATTGACAGTGGCTGTATTATATTCATGAGGAAGTGCTAAACCCATAGGGATGATAGAGCCTGTGGAATAGGAGGTAATCAGGTGTGATACAAAGGGAGTTTAGCTGAAATTTCTTGGATGAAGAGCCCTTCACTGGCATCTTAAAACAAATGGTACCTGTAGGAATTAGTTGCAAATACATTACTCAACAACCCTATTCTGTTATTCATTTTAAATTTTGTTTTGGTGTGCACTGCATTTTTCAATTAATGAAAAAACTAAATACATATTTAAAAAGGGTAATTAAAGCAGATATTTCACTGAATATTTACATTTTGGTCACACAATGCCTTACAGAAGAAAAAGTACATAATTTTGAATATAATATATCACTGATTATGACTTGTTTTGTAAAGCTGTTGAATCTTTTGTTTTAAATGAGGATAATACTAATTGCCATAAATATATGAACATTTCCAATCACAATATTCTAGACTGTGGTTGCTTAATGTTTGTATCTGCCCTGTAAAAAGTATACTACAAAAGACCATTACAAACTTTGATATTATCAATCCTAATGAAAGCATATCACACCTACTATCAATCCACCTAATTTTATTTATTAATTAATATTACATTAATATTAATTAATATTATCAATTAATATTACATAGTACATGTTAAATGTTTTCCTAGTAAGCATTTATCTTTATCATTATAGGTCAATGAAATACAGTGGACCCCCGGTTAACGATATTTTTTCACTCCAGAAGTATGTTCAGGTGCCAGTACTGACCGAATTTGTTCCCATAAGGAATATTGTGAAGTAGATTAGTCCATTTCAGACCCCCAAACATACACGTACAAACGCACTTACATAAATACACTTACATAATTGGTCGCATTCGGAGGTGATCGTTATGCGGGGGTCCACTGTATACTCCAGTACAATGACCACTAAAACTGCCATATTGCAGAAATAGACCTATGATCTTTTTCATTGTTAACAGACCAATTATTGAGTGAAATTCCAAAGACTTCCATAAATAAAGGTATACTTATATTCACCAATTTACTATCACAGACATAATTTTTTTGACTTTCTGGTTAAAATTCAGTACTGTACTGAACATATGATGAAGCATTTTGTTCAAATACTTTTTCAATAATTCACTGGGAATTCTTTTGTAAAACTGGTCATATAAAATATACTTAGACAATAAGACTGTACATCCATAAACATATAACAGCTAATACTGTTTACTTAAGACTATACAATTATTAACAAGTTTAATTACAGACAGTATTCCAAAAATGATCATTTGAAATCTTGTCATTTTGAGGGCCAATCAGGCAAGTTCCCTCCACAGATGCATCCTTTAGGTACACACGTGCTACTCTCACCAGGTCCTGTGAGACAGTGTCTAAAATGAGCCTTCGATGATCAGAAAATAATTCATCGGTAATGTGTGAAAAGAAACGACGATTTCCCTGTGAACCTGGAGACACTGGAGCATCAACTGTCTGGAAAACTCCCAACTTTGCCTCAGCAACATCACGTTCAGTAAAGCCACCTGATAATACATATTCAATGGCTGCATCAAACGCAGCTAAAGTTTCTGTGGAATGTGGGTCACGATAACTGTAAAAGGAGAATGCTCCTCCAGGAGATGCTACAGCACCTCCACCATAGGCACCACCCTTTTCACGAATTTCTCTGTGCAAAAAGCGAAACATTAAACGAGCAAGCACTCTAAGAGCTCCAGAATCTGGATGGGCATAAGGTACACCACTGAAAGATTTAGATGTAAAATTAACTGGGAAGGGAAATACATGATGAGTTTTGGCTGTGTGTGGTGTGAAGTTCCCAGGAGTTGCAGCAATAGATGAGGAATTACTTGGATCACCTGGCAAATTACTCAAAAAATGATCAAACTTGTGAAGTGCTTTATCATGATAGCTTGGTGTTGTGTTAATGGCCACTCTCATCTTCTTTCTGGACAATAACAAACTGGATAACTCACGTAGGTGTTCCAGTGTCTGAGTTAGATCTTCCATTTCACTCAGAGCTTTCATCTGTTGCATGAATGTGAGACCATTCCAACATTCAGTGAGAGCTGCTATGTGGCTGGTGGTGGCACTTGCTGCTGTCATGGCATACCGATGACCAGAATATACCAAACTGTTGGCCTGATCAGTTGCTATCATACTGACTAATGTACTAAACCTTTGCAGATCATTTAAGTTCACATCATTGAATATTAAAGACCAAATATCAAGCATTCTTGTCAAATTTTGATTTAAGCAATGTGATGAGAGTATGATTCCTTCTTCATAATGTGAAGCACTGATAGGATGTGCAGTTAAATGAGTAGAAGCATTTAAGCCACCTGTTACCATCTCCACTTTCTGATCAAGCTGGCGAAAATCAAGATGGCCTGCACCCATATTTGTGAGCACACCACATAATAAAGGAACAAGCAACCTAAGATGATCTGGTATATCTTGGGTGTCTAGTACAGCTGAGAAGTAAGTAATACCATTAGTAGGCTGATCACAAACTTGAACTGGGACACCAGTAGAAAGTTTGATGTCAGTCACGAAGGTTGGTGATACATTCCGGCTAATATCTGATACCTGCAATGTTGGAAGACTAGAAAGATCTTCCTCCTCCTCTTGTTTCTTTGCCAAAGTGTGTCCCCTTTCCCAAATTTTAATGCAATCCTCATCTGTCAGTTCAGACACTTGTTTAGCTAAGAGTACTTCCTCTGCCTCTTGCAACTTAGCTTCATATCCTTCTCTTGGGGACATGGTTTGAATGTACTTGTGAGTATTCTTTATAAAGTATACTTTGATTTTATCCTGTAGAAACCTTGGGTTTTCTTCAATACACTTTCTGAATCTAGCTATCTTACTATTAATCTGAAGAGCATCAACTGGGTCACCATCTAAATTCCACAATGGTGTGAGACTCATAACTAAACCAAGCCCAAATTTTGAAGTCTGATGCTTAATACCAAGTTCCAGATTATGCAACACTCCCTCAACACGTTCTGAGGGAAACCCTTCTTCCATAACTTTAACAAATGTTTCATCTATAACTAATTTAACTTTTTCAATGTCAGCATCTTTAATTCCCTGCAGTCCCACAGTGAAAGTTGTATTGCGAGTATGAGAGTCAAACCCAGATGAAGGCGAGAAGCTTGAACCTAACTGTGATTCTAGGAGTGACTTATAAAACGGAGCATTTGGCCCAGTCATTAACAGCTCCCCAAGAATATTTAACACAAAAGTTTCAAATGTATCAATTATATTGATTAATTTAAAGGATACCGCTATAGTTGTTTGAGCTTCACTACTAGCCATAGGGTCTACACCACAATCTATGTGAGCACACCGAGGTTCGGACCAATTTGGCTCCTCAGGAACTTCTGTGTGAGGGTTAATTCTTGTGTAATTGCTTAAATAATTAGCATTTATAAATTCAAGATGGTTTACAAGAGGCTGATCACCATAAGTGTAGAAATAAGCATTACTTGGGTGATAATGATATGTGTGAAATTGCTTTAGATGCTCCCAGGTCAACTGTGGGATGCACAGTGGATCACCACCAGACACAACACCATATGTGTGGGAGGGTAGAAGGCCATTCTGCAATTTCTGCATAAAAAGACGCTGCGAGTCTGCAAACACACCTTTCATCTCATTAAATACAACCCCTTTAAACACTATAGGAGATAACTTATCTTTGATGTCTTGATTCTCAAGCCTCCAGCCTTCCTGAAGAAAGTCAAGTTCTGATAGATTAGGTTTAAATACTGCATCCATGTACACTGACATCAAGTTTCTAAAATCTACAGGATGCTGTGTGGAGAATGGATATATTGTGAAATCACTCCCTGTCATGGCATTCATGAAAGTAGAAAGTGAGCGGTTTAGCATCTTGAAAAAAGGATCCCTGCATGGGTATTTGTTGCTGCCACAGAGAACAATGTGCTCAAGAATATGTGGCACTCCTGTTGAGTCAGTAGGGGTGGTGCGGAATCCCACACAAAATACATTGTTAGAATCATCTCTGGCAATGTGTAAGTAATCAGCTCCGGTACCCAGGTGTTCTAGACGGATGGCTGTGAGATGAAGCTCAGGTACATCCTGCACTTTTTTTACTAAGAATCCTGAAACTTTGGCACCAACCTGAAATTCCTTGATGGCATCACCTGAAACCACAAAAACAATTCAGAATAAACAACAAAATTTTACCAAATCTACTCAGCCTATTGTTGTTTACAATTATGATATAAATAAAGTAGTATAAACTTTTATAAAAATACCAGTAATCAGAAAAAAAACAGGTAGACTACTAAGAAGTTTGCTTATAATACATGTGTAAGGAAGAACAACTCAGGAAAAAAACAAGATTTTCTTAGCACACTGGCCATCTACCCCCGAGGTAGGGTAACCCAAAAAAGAAATGTTTTCACCCACTCAAACAAACAAACAAACAAACAAATTTTATTTCTTTGCAAAGGTTACAATGTGTAATTTACATTTTATGAAGTGTTGTTAAGTACAAAGAAAGCCACTAACATGCCAAAGCATTTTGGGCAGACTAATCTTAATGCTTACAGACAACTTAAAACTAGACATGGCTTACTGGGTGGTAAATTTTAATTATTCATTACTTTACCTTATTACTAACGTGAGGTAGCCAAATAATTTTATAATTAATAAGATTTAGAGTAGTGAGGTAGCACAAAACAAATAATAGTACAGTGGAACCTCGGCTTACAAGTGCCCCAACATACAAGTTTTTCGGGATATGAGCAATCGCTTGGTTGATTTTTTGCTCTGAGTTACGAGCCAAAATCCGAGTTACAAGTGAGCTTTCCCCTCAAAGGAGGTTCCTTGATGCTGGTGAGGGGCTCTTGATCTAAGGAATTTGATCTGTGTTCCAGTTCCCTAAATTAAGCCTGAATACCTTCCATCCCCTCCCCCCCACAGGCTCTGTATAATCCTATGGCTTTAGCGAGCTTCAGAACGCCGCCACTAGTTGGAGCAGCAAACGCCACAACATCTGCTAAGCAGTGCATATGTTCACCTAGCCATAAACACATGCAAAAAATTTACTTGAGGAGCTTGGACCGATCTCCAGCATGGGTGAAACATTGGGCATGTTCACCTAGCAGTAAGTAGGTACCTAGGCGTTAGTCAACTATTGTACGTCAGATCCGAAATGCCTAGCCATGCTAGGCGTTCTAGTGGTATACTCTGTAATCATTATTTAACTACATGTAAACCACACAATAACCAAATTCTGTAAATTCAACATTGTAATCCTTATAGAGAATAAACTTTGAATTGAATTGAATTGAATTGGGGGACAAGATTAATTTAGGCAGTCTGAAATATTCTCAATAACTGGGGGCTACTATAAAATATGCCAATTGTGTTATCTAGGCCTTTATCAGTTTAACCATATGCTTTGTGGAAATTATTATTATTAATACATTAGTAATTATTATTATTGTTATTATTAAGCAAACTATATGTATCCTGAAGACTTTTTTCTTTACATGGTTGAACTGCTCAACATTAATATTACTTTTAGCCTACTATCCGCATCCCTTTGCTCTACTAAACACTTACCCTCAGCACAGCATCCACTTTTCCTTGGCCCCACCTTCCACCCACCCATGAGTAGCCATCCACCTACCCATGACTAGCCATCCACCTACCCATGACTACCCATCCAACTACCCGTGAATAACCATCCACTTACTCACGACTAGCCATCCACCTACTCATGACTAACCATCCAAGTACCCATGACTAACCATCCACCTACCCATGACTAACCATCCACCTACCCATGACTAGCCATGCATCTACCTATAGCTACCCATCCAACTACTCATGACTAGCCATCCACCTACCCATGACTAGCCATCCACCTACCCATGACTAACCATCCACCCATGACTAACCATCCAACTACCCATGACTAACCATCCACCTACCCATGACTAACCATCCACCTACCCATGACTAACCATCCACCTACCCATGACTAACCATTCACCTACCCATCCACCTATGACCAACCATCCAACTACCCATGACTAACCATCCAACTACCCATGACTAACCATCCAACTACCCATGACTAACCATCCACCTACCCATGATGAACCATCCACCTACCCATGACTAACCATTCACCTACCCATCCACCTATGACCAACCATCCAACTACCCATGACTAACCATCCAACTACCCATGACTAACCATCCACCTACCCATGACTAACCATTCACCTACCCATCCACCTATGACCAACCATCCAACTACCCATGACTAAACCATCCACCATACCCATGACTAACACCATCACACCTACCACCCCATGACTAACCATCCAACTATGACTAACACCTCCACACCATCACCCATGACTAACCATCCACCTACCATGACTAACCATCCACCTACCCATGACTAACCATCCACTACCCATGACTAACCATCCACCTACCTACCCATGACTAACCATCCACTACCCATGACTAACCATCCACCTACCCATGACTAACCATCACCTACCCATGACTAACCAACCTATCTCACCAACCATCCACCTACCCATGACTAACCATCCACCTACCCATAACCTACCCCAAACTACCATGACTAACCATCCACCTACCCATGACTAACCATCCACTTACCATGACTACCATCACCTACCCATGACTAACCATCCACCTACCCATGACTAACCATCCACCTACCCATGACTAACCATCCACCTACCCATGACTAGCCATCACTCCCAACTACCTATGACTAACCATCCAACTACCATGACTAACCATCCACCTACCCATGACTAACCATCCACCTACCCATGACTAACCATCCACCTACCCATGACTAACCATCCACCTACCCATGACTAACCATCCACCTACCCAGACTAACCATCACTACCATGACTAACCATCCACTACCCGATAACCACCAACTACCCCATGACTAACATCACTACATGCTACCTCCACCTACCCATGACTAAACATCCATCTACCCATGACTAACCATCCACCTACCCACAACAGCAGCAGCAGGACTGCCTCGTGTGCTTGCAGATGTCACCAATGTCTTGCTTGCTTCCTTACAATATCTGAAGTTCACGCTCCTCCCAAATCTTGTGAAACTCCGCAGTAATTTAGATATTGTCATTATTGTTAATGTTGATATTCAGCAGCGTGGAATTAACGGGAAAATGAGAGGACGATGATGATTTTCACATCGTCTGCGGTGATGCAATGTTGTTAGATTTTATAGGGCCATTACGGCCCTACCTTAAGTAAATAAGAAAGCTTATAATTAATAATAATAAGATAAAATAAAATAAAAAAAATTCAGATTTTTAACCCTGGAGGGTTAGCCAGAGATAATAACCCAGGAAAGTCAATGTTTCATCAGGGACTAATGGTTCTTCAATCTTGCCCTAGGTAATTCACACTTTGTATGATAATTGTATTTATGAGTACCTGTGCCTAAATAAACATACTTACACCAATGTACCAACACCCAGGTACCTACCTACTGGTTGGTGAACCGGGGCAGTATGTGTAAGTAAGGAAACATGCTCAATGTTTCCACCTATGCCGGTGATTGAACTACGGACACTTAGTGTGTGAGGCGAAAGCGCTGAGTACATAACTTGTAATAAAGACACTTACATTGGTAATGACGATACACAAAGTTTATGGTGACATAAACAAGTACATTAATTTGATTTAGGATAATCCGATAACGTCAAATAATGTGATTTATTTTCATTCGTTGTCCAGGGATGAAATATTGCCAAAAGTTGAGCGGTAATAGGGAAAGAATATCGAGCAATAAAATAGAGAATAAAGTTCCTAAATAAATAAGATGAACTTCCTTGGGCTGAGGCAGACACAAACACCCAACTAAAGTTATTGACAGGTTACATCAACAGCCATAGAAAATCCTCAATTGAAATAAATGAAATAATGTAAGCTGCCCCCGACTGATTGCTGTGTCAAAAAAAAAAAGGTGACGGCAATAGTCTCAAAAACTACAAAGAATTTGTTGCAACCAGTCGTTCTTAGTCTAGGTTATTGGATACAAATAAACTCAGGGCAGTTGTCAGGGCAGTTGTTGTTAGTTAGTTAATGGGTTTAAACGGCATATTTCTAATATTTTTTGTGACCTAATTTATGCTTGAATAAATAATTTATTACGACCGTAAACAGAAATATGCATCTAAAGGGGACAAAAAGATACAAAACATCCAGGCCATGGGAAAACCTGGGTAGCCACAGCCACTCAAGAGGGAGAGGTTTTTTAGTGCCAGGAAGGAAAAAAAACTGGCAGGAAATGGCAGAAATCGTACACCAAATCCAGTCATTCCTGGAGTGGAACCACAGTCGATGGCCTCCACTCCAAACCAACAGATACAGATACTAATGCCGGAAAAAAAATCCCCCCCCAGTACCAACAATACCACCAGTCCGATAACATTCTTCTTTGCAAATATACAGGGTCTAAAGCCAGCTACAAACAACAAAATACCTTTCATCCGTGGACTGCTTGCAGAGGCAAAGGCAAGTTCGCGGCTTTCACTGAGACCCACATAAAGGATCACTTGGACAACGAAGTATGGATCCCAGGTTACAACCTATACAGATGTGACAGAGTGAACAGGCAAAGGGGGGGGTTGGCCTGTACATTGCAGAGTCACTTGTTTGCACAGAACTGCTTAATGCCTCAAATGACGTAGTGGAAGTTTTAGCAGTAAAGGTCGAGAACCAAAACCTAGTCATTGTGGTAGTCTACAAGCCTCCGGATGCAACATCCCAGCAATTCCAGGAACAGCTGTTAAAAATTGACCACTGTCTGGAAAATCTTCCAGCTCCTGCACCCAACATCTTGCTCCTGGGGGATTTCAACTTAAGGCACCTAAAATGGAGGAATATAGCAAATAATATTGTTGCAGTAATAACACCAGGAGGCAGCTCTGATGAAAACTCACACTCACACGAGCTTTTAAATCTCTGCACAAAATTCAATTTAAACCAGCAAATAATAGAGCCTACAAGACTGGAGAATACACTAGACCTCATCTTCACTAACAATGATGATCTGATAAGAAATGTCACCATATCAAAAACAATATACTCAGATCACAACATAATTGAGGTTCAGACATGTATGCATGGAGCCCAGACCGACAAAATGAGACTAGTCACGAGGGAGCATTCACCAAATTCAACTTCAATAACAAAAACATAAAGTGGGACCAAGTAAACCAAGTCCTAACCGATATAAGCTGGGAAGATATACTAAGCAACACAGACCCAAACTTATGCCTAGAACAGATTAACTCGGTGGCACTCGATGTATGCACAAGGCTTATTCCTCTAAGAAAAAGGAGGAGTAGATGTAAAATAGAAAGAGACAGGCGCTCCCTTTACAGGCGACGGAAAAGAATAACAGAGCGGCTAAAAGAGGTCAATATATCTGAAATGCGCAGGGAGACACTGGTCAGAGAAATAGCAAGCATCGAACTTAAGCTAAAAGAATCCTTTAGGAGTCAGGAATCGCGGGAAGAACTAAAAGCCATAAATGAAATCGAAAGAAACCCAAAGTATTTCTTCTCCTATGCCAAATCAAAATCGAGAACAACGTCCAGTATTGGGCCCCTACTTAAACAAGATGGGTCCTACACAGATGACAGCAAGGAAATGAGTGAGCTACTCAAGTCCCAATATGACTCAGTTTTTAGCAAGCCGCTAACCAGACTGAGAGTCGAAGACCAAAATGAATTTTTTATGAGAGAGTCACAAAATTTGACTAACACAAGCCTATCCGATGTTATCCTGACGCCAAATGACTTCGAACAGGCGATAAATGACATGCCCATGCACTCTGCCCCAGGGCCAGACTCATGGAACTCTGTGTTCATCAAGAACTGCAAGAAGCCCCTATCACGAGCCTTTTCCATCCTATGGAGAGGGAGCAGGGACACGGGGGTCGTCCCTCAGTTACTAAAAACAACAGACATAGCCCCACTCCACAAAGGGGGCAGTAAAGCAACAGCAAAGAACTACAGACCAATAGCACTAACATCCCATATCATAAAAATCTTTGAAAGGGTCCTAAGAAGCAAGATCACCACCCATCTAGAAACCCATCAGTTACACAACCCAGGGCAACATGGGTTTAGAACAGGTCGCTCCTGTCTGTCTCAACTACTGGATCACTACGACAAGGTCCTAAATGCACTAGAAGACAAAAAGAATGCAGATGTAATATATACAGACTTTGCAAAAGCCTTCGACAAGTGTGACCATGGCGTAATAGCGCACAAAATGCGCGCTAAAGGAATAACAGGAAAAGTCGGTCGATGGATCTATAATTTCCTCACTAACAGAACACAGAGAGTAGTCGTCAACAGAGTAAAGTCCGAGGCAGCTACGGTGAAAAGCTCTGTCCCACAAGGCACAGTACTAGCTCCCATCTTGTTCCTCATCCTCATATCCGACATAGACAAGGATGTCAGCCACAGCACCGTGTCTTCCTTTGCAGATGACACCCGAATCTGCATGACAGTGTCTTCCATTGCAGACACTGAAAGGCTCCAGGCGGACATCAACCAAATCTTTCAGTGGGCTGCAGAAAACAATATGAAGTTCAACGATGAGAAATTTCAATTACTCAGATATGGTAAACATGAGGAAATTAAATCTTCATCAGAGTACAAAACAAATTCTGGCCACAAAATAGAGCGAAACACCAACGTCAAAGACCTAGGAGTGATTATGTCGGAGGATCTCACCTTCAAGGACCATAACATTGTATCAATCGCATCTGCTAGAAAAATGACAGGATGGATAATGAGAACCTTCAAAACTAGGGAGGCCAAGCCCATGATGACACTCTTCAGGTCACTTGTTCTATCTAGGCTGGAATATTGCTGCACTCTAACAGCACCTTTCAAGGCAGGTGAAATTGCCGACCTAGAAAATGTACAGAGAACTTTCACGGCGCGCATAACGGAGATAAAACACCTCAATTACTGGAGCGCTTGAGGTTTCTAAACCTGTATTCCCTGGAACGCAGGAGGGAGAGATACATGATTATATACACCTGGAAAATCCTAGAGGGACTAGTACCAAACTTGCACACGAAAATCACTCACTACGAAAGCAAAAGACTTGGCAGACGATGCACCATCCCCCCAATGAAAAGCAGGGGTGTCACTAGCACGTTAAGAGACCATACAATAAGTGTCAGGGGCCCGAGACTGTTCAACTGCCTCCCAGCACACATAAGGGGGATTACCAACAGACCCCTGGCAGTCTTCAAGCTGGCACTGGACAAGCAACTAAAGTCAGTTCCTGATCAGCCGGGCTGTGGCTCGTACGTTGGTTTGCGTGCAGCCAGCAGCAACAGCCTGGTTGATCAGGCGCTGATCCACCAGGAGGCCTGGTCACAGACCGGGCCGCGGGGGCGTTGACCCCCGAAACTCTCTCCAGGTAAACTCCAGGTAAATAGTTCATTACCACTAACTTCTTTAGCTGTCAGAACTTTGTGGTCCAGTCCCTCGACTCCTTTTGTAAATCGTTTATCTTTTAACTCCCCTCAAGGGAGGTTCCTTGACGCTGGTGAGGGGCTCTTGATCTAGGGAATTGGATTTGTGCTCCGGTTCCCTGAATTGAGCCTGAATACCTTCTATCCCCCCACATGCGCTGTATAATCCTACGGGTTTAGCGCTCCCCCATGATTATAATAATAATAATAATAATAATAATAATAATTATCTTTTAACTACTACCAACAGGATGGTTGTGAGGTGCATGATAGATATTAAACTAACTGATGTATTACCAACGGTCCTAGGGCTGTTGGTAATGGAGATTATTTCAGTTAAATTCACTAAAATTAAAACTTTAATTCTGATAAGGCTTAAAATTCTTACAGAAAATAGAGGAATAATTTATAAGCCTGATGAAAAAAAAAACTGATTTCGGGTTCAGAAAGCTCTAAAGCCGCTGTTAGTGGTGGGACAAGGATTTAAACGGCCCTAGGACCGTTAAATGGCCTTCGGGGCTATTGCTGACGAGGTTACAAAATTCAGACTGTCACACAAATAACCCGCACATAAAAGAGAGAAGCTTACGACGACGTTTCGGTCCGACTTGGACCATTGACAAAGTCCTGTACTACTACTACTACTACCTACTTACCAACAGACCCCTGGCAGTCTTCAAGCTGGCACTGGACAATCACCTAAAGTCAGTTCCTGATCAGCCGGGCTGTGGCTCGTACGTTGGTTTGCGTGCAGCCAGCAGCAACAGCCTGGTTGATCAGGGGCTGATCCACCAGGAGGCCTGGTCACAGACCGGGCCGCGGGGGCGTTGACCCCCGAAACTCTCTCCAGGTAAACTCCAGGTAAACTACTACTACTACTACTACCACCACCTCTTCCTGCCTATATTTAGCCATCCTGCTCCCCCTCTGGTTAGTGTGACTTTGTCAATGGTCCAGGTCGGACCGAAACGTCGTCGTAAGCTTCTCTCTTTTATGTGCGGGTTATTTGTGTATCGTTCCAGTCACGGTATTGTGCCTTTTTTTGTTATTCAGACTGTCCTAGGGGCCCTTGTTAATAAAGGCTAAGGTGTTCGACTGGCCCTGTGGATGTTCTCGCTGGAAGTTAAAGGGTGTAAACGGTCCTAGGGCTGATGTTAGTGGATAATAAAATTTTCAAAACGGCTTTTGAGCTGCTTTGTTGTAGGTTAAGGATCTAAAGAGACCGGGAATCCGGAGGGTTGAACCCGGTCCCATCCAGGAGCGGGGGGAACCATACACCACACTCTGGATGGGTGTATGGACTCAAAAAGTCAATTAACTCAGGCTAGTCTGAAGTATAAGTGTATTTAAGAACACTGAATTTATCAGCGTAGAGAAGATCAGGTTAATGTGCAGCTACTTTCATTGAGATGGGGTTAGGGAACGGAAGAGTGAAATGCTTTCGTTAACGCGACGGGCTGGAGTTTTGAGACTTTCTGACCGCGGGTTCAATCCCGGCCGGGGTATGGTTTGTGGAATGCTTAAATGGAGAGGACCACCAATTATAGAGGTAGGTGGGTGGGAAGAGTCAAAGAAGAGGACCTGAAAGGCAGTGAGAAGAAGAAAAATAGAAAGAGTTTTCCAGGAATGAACAGTCAGAATTGCAGAGGAAGAGCTGTCGCTAATGATGGTGTTCCTTCTCAAAAAGGAAAACCATCATTAGCGATTTCACAAGATGCAGCCTTATACATCCACTCAAACAGGGAAAGCTGGAGAGTGCACAGGGTGACACAGGAAATGAAAGAGAGAGAGAGAGAAGTGGTAAGCCCCAGAAACGAGTGGGAAGCCAGGAAAGCGATGGGAAACCAAATCAAACAGCACCATAGAAGAAAGGGGACAGAAGGTGCTCAAGAGGCAGTATGATTAGACTTAAAATTAGATGTAGACCTCAGCATTCTGCACCAGTGACAGTGGGATAGAACCCAACTACTCAAAAGCCACAGGGATGATTGAAAGGCAACTAATGAAATGCGGTGAACCAGATTTTGGAGGACGTTAATCCAGCAAAATAAAGTTGAGGACGAAGATCCGTACACGAAAGTCGTTGTTCATACATCCACTAGGGTAGACTATCAATCATGAAGCTCTCCATAAGTCTGCTGATGCAGAGCTATACTAATTAGAAATATACACATCCTTTTCTGATTTCAGGATGGAAACAAAAGCAGTTCCACACATTGAGGAATATGGAAGAGGTCTGTGGAAAATAATTTCCCAAAATTATGCTGTGTAAATAAACCTGATTAATACGTTACTACTGTTCTGTTGAGTGCATTTTAAATAAGATAAACGACAGGGAAGCTCTGCACCTGCGCTGACGAGCAGGAAGAGACGCCATTGTTTTTTTTGAATGTGTTAAAAGCACGTTAATGTAAGGTGTATACTTTTCGTCGCTCTAGGGGTTATATTGGGCTTAAAACCTCTGAAATAGGAGCCGAAATTGTTGGATGTGCAGTCCTGCATAATTTGAGTATTAAGCAGATAAACAGGACAGCTCCAGGAACCTCAGATAAGTCTATTTATGTTGAGATTCTGGCCAGTTTTCTCTATATATTTAGGCAGGAGTCTGAGTATGATACACAGTAATCTCCAGACAAATTGGTGAGTGTTATGATTATAAATTCTCCTTCTGTTATATAAATGTGTATATGTAATCATTTATTAATTTTAATATACAGTCCACAAATTTATATTAAATTTTACCAGAATTCCTGGTGATGTACATTTCATTTGCAACTAATATAGGTCTAGAGCAACTTGTGGAGAGATAGATTATGGTAGGTATCGAAGGGGGACATTTTTTGCGACCTACGTGTCCTAAAAATTCCTACTTGTCTCTGTAACTTTGATAAATAATAATTATCTTTGTTATCATTTACTGGTATGTATCTAATGAGATTCATCCAGGTAAATTTAATTTTCCACAAGGTCCATTATCACCCCCCTAAACACAGGTAGGAGAAAGGTGAAATACGAAGGCGCACAGGAGATATTTCAGGCTAGAATGATATTCTGGAGATCAGAGAGTCTCACCTCAAGAACGCGGGAGACCATAAACACTTACCTGTAAGCAATGGGAGGGAAGGGTACAATATGGAACAAAATGGTTGTGAGTTCAGGTGGCCGAGTAATGATGGATTATTTTTATATTCACAAAAAAAAAAAAACGCTAAACTTGTGTAGGTCATTCAGCATTGCATGACAAATGGCTGTTGACCTTAGAATGCGGAAGCGTGAAAGGTGAGAAGGGTGAAAGTAAAAGTTATAGTTAGTGAGATAAGTTATTGTCAGTTAACAAGTTATAAAATGAATTTGCATTAAAGGCGGGACTCTCAGAGAGGAGAGGAGACAATGAATGTTATGATGCTAAGAGAGATGTCTAAAATAAAATCCATGTTCTTCCTGAAGAACGGGTGTCTTCCAAAAAAAAATCTTTGTCAGCTCAACCTGACAATGTTGCAGTGACTCACGGCACCGCTCCATGAGATGACCTTGTGAGAGTTTGGTGTGTCCATTGCACAATCGTGCGAGTATTGCTTTTGAAGGCACAACCAAAATATTAAGTAATGGGAGTTACTGAATTTATAAATAGGTGGATTCATAACTCAGAGAAAAACTTTATCCCAATAAATCATTATTGTTTCCTTCGATTTAATAGTTTATAACATTTTGTTGTTTTATTAATTTTGCAAAAACAATAAATGGGGGAAAGTGAAAGTCCACAATAAATAAATTATCTTTATTAACGTGAAAACCATACTAATGCGAATATTAACTTAAATACCCTCACTACCATCTAGAACTATGGCTTATTACCATGCAATTCACCATATCATCAGAACCATTTAACCATGGTTATGTATTAAACAATCACTACCGCCAAGCACTCTGCTCTTTTAGCATGTCATTTGCTGTCTTGAAGCCACATTAACATTACCTTAACATGACTACTGCTCACCACATTCTTTCTCTTCACGTGTCTTTTTTTGAATAATTACAAAATGTAATATGCTTTTTAGGTTCTAATAACAAATGAATGACAAAATAATCAGTAAAAATATGTATTCACCCCACTTACACTACAAGTACTTAATTTAAAAATTAAAAAAAAAAAAAAAAAAACTTTTGATATTATCACTCACAAAATATATGTTTTTGGATGTGATCCTGTGATCATGTTCTCAGGCATCCTTAGCAACAGTAAAAAACAGTTTATCCGCTTAGGAAACTGGTTGTATTCTGAAGTAATTTTCCTTTAGCTCTTCATCTGGAAGCCGTGTACTGACGATGCCAGGCATCACCTCTCGGGATCACCACACTGAGTCACTAAAACAAGAAACAGGTTGTCCTGTTACTGTGGTTCTTTTGCTTCCCTAACAAGTTTATTATACAACTGTTTTACGAACTTGAGCGTACACTTAACCCCTGTGATTGACAGGTCTCGAAGCATGTGCCAGACGATAAACTATTTATATACAGCCCTAAACCCGAGTGTCTACAGATGGGTACGGTAACACCATTACAAAGCTATGAATAGATCATGACTAAATAGACTTAGTTACCATCTTTTAAGATTTTTGGTATAGCCAGGGAAGTGATTAGCGTTAGCTAGAATTTTTGTGAGCATACCCAAGATGAGCATAATCTACTTACAAGCTCAGTGAAATCTGTGTACCGAAAGCCATCAGTTTAAAACACAGGTAATACTAATCATAAATAATAATGCTGATACAGTATGTAACAAGAAATCTAGAATACAACTGAGAGTCGAATTTTAACCAATAAGTGAACAGGTCCAATAACATGATTTGTAGAAAATCCTAAGGCAAAAATTCCCTAAAACGAATTAATCCTGGTTCCTGAACATGTAATTGTTACAGCGGTAGCTTTTGTGAGAGTGCATATATACCCATTTTTTTTCGCTGGGGTCGAGCTCCATTTCCTGAACGTCATCCTTGTAACTACTAATCGAGCGACAATAAAGGTCTGGAGCCCCACGGGCTGTCACATTTACATTTGAACTTGTGTAGTCACCTCCACTATCGCGTCCCCTGAGGCATTGTAGGAATACTGAACTACTCGTTCTCACTTAAAATTTTAGAAGGTATCACAGAAAAGGTCTGTCTAGATATTGCGTAAAACCATAAAGAGAGAGGTATATAGGGAAGCAAAGACAGTTAACGTTCACAAAAATTCCACTGATCACAACTATAGCTGAGTGTCATCAGCCAGGATGCTCTCGGACTGGAGTCAATCACCGAGCAACAGTGGCCTCCAGTTGGTGCTGACGGTGCAGGTTGTCGAACATAATCTGACACATAGCTTCCAGGTTGTACTGGTGGCGCCAGCCCCAATCCTGTCTAGCCTCAGAGTCGTCGAAAACCTCAGGCCAGGTGTCCGCTGCAGGGAGACAATCATGTCAGTTACTAGGCATATTCATACTGCATTTTTTACATTTTTTATATAAGTGCTACTGAAAATGTTAATTTTGTAACCTTGTTTTAAATATATAATAGTACTTTCAAACCAGAGCTCTACTATTTTGCTAAATAATTACTGTATATTATTTTAATAATTCTCTGGTACGACACTGTGAAAGGAAGCAACTACAACTGACAACAATAAAAATAAATGACGAAAGGATACAATAAAGTGTTTTCACAGAATGATAGAACACTGCACTGGGATCCAAGAAAAAGTTAATAAGCGGTACAACAATGGAAGTTTCATGGAGAATGGAAGATAATCAATACTGATCCAAGGAATTAAAGTACAGAGCCAATTGTAATTGTAAACAGGTTATTAGGGAGAGGAGAACTCACCGATATACTGCCTGGAGTCTGGCTTGTACGACACACTGAGGTTTGGGAAGTGTTTACGCACAGCGCTGACGATCTCCTCTGGAGAGAAGCTCATGGCTGTTACGTTGTACGTCCGACGACGCAACGACTCCTCTGGCGCTACCAGCATCTCCCACAACGACCTGTGGGGGAACGACAACCACTGTGTGAGGTACAGGTGTATCAGCTAGCAGTTCTGAAAGATAGATGGTCTGAGAGGTGTCCATCAACCAGATGGACTTGAAGAACAGATGGTGTAAGGGAGGTGCCTATCAACCAGCTGGGCCTGAAGTACAGATGGTGTAAGGGAAGTGTCTGTCAACCAGCTGGTCATGAATAACAAATGGTGTAAGAGAGGTGTCTATCAACCAGCTGAGCATGAATAACAGCTGGTGTAAGGAAGGTGTCAACCACATGGTCTGTAAGAATAGTCGTGTGAGAAAGGTATGAACCATCTGGGCCTGAAGAACACTGCGTACTGGAAGAAACATGCACAATGATATCAAGAACATTGTAACAAGACATTTTCAACTACCACATCATCAATAAGCACAATAATTCGTCAATGAAACATTTTTTGAAACATAAAAACTGCATTTTTATATAGATTTTGCACAAACTGCTGAATGGTCTTTTTTAAATGTTTTAAGTGGTGACGAGAGAGAGAGAGAGAGAGAGAGAAAGGAAAAAAAGACTGACCTGAGACAGTCATCAATATACATCATGGGCAGACGGGTCGTAGGTTTCAGGTAGCATTCAAAATCTTTACCCTCGATGGCGTCGTGGAAGATCTGCACTGCATAGTCTGCCAAGAGAAATATTATTATTGTTACATTATTATTATTATCATCTTCATGGAGAAGCACAAAATCCGTAGAGAGGTCACAGAGCGCCTGGGGTATGGAGATAATCAGGATTGGTCATAGGAAAGAGGATGGCACTTCAGCAGCATCCAGGCACCACCCCTTTTGAGGGATGTCGGTATGTAGACTTTTCATGAAATATTAACTCACGCTTTGCTGGAAGAAAACCTCTGAAGCTGCCGTAGTTGCTGAACCCATAATGGAGTACTTTACAATATCTCATAGCTTTATTTAAAATCTCGCATCTTAAGCTGACATGTTTCATTAACTCGTGTATGAAATTCATCCTGTGAGATAGAGAATGACCGGGAAAGAGCATGACATGAAGTCATTCCTTTGCGATGGATCATGACAAGTATCCCATCCTATGCGAGGGAGTATGGCATATAAACAAAGGCAGCTTTCGTTCCCACACTGCAATCATCATTCAAATTTGAAGCAAACAGTGACTTACCTGTGGTTCCTCCTCCAGGTTGTGTGTCAGAGGATATGACGCCAGGAAACCTGAGACAGCGGAAGTCCAGACCGAACTTGTGATGATAGTACTCTCCAAGCAGCTCCCCATGTACCTGCAACAAAACCATCCCACTCAGTCACTATTAGGCTTTCAGTGATCCAGGACCGGCCGAAACGCCCTCTAAATTTTCCTTTCTAAATTGTGGCGTTAGTTTCACACACACACTGATGTCAAGTTTTACATTACATGTATGGACAAGATAACATGTAGGGTGGTTACCTTCGAGACCCCGTATATGGTCCTGGGCCGCTGGATGGTGATGTTTGGGGTGGGGTTCCTGGGGGAGTCTGGACCGAAGGCACCGATAGTAGAGGGTACAAACACTCTGAGGTTGTACTGCTTGCTCAGTTCCATCACATTGTGCAAACCCTCGATGTTCACTCTATAGTATAAGAAGAAGAGGAGCACTTAGCCTACTAGGCAGATCCATCTCAAACAAAATTCTTCTCACTTATATGTATCCATTATTTTTTAACAACGGGCATGAGGAGGTACCGATGGCATTACGTACATAAATGGTCCAACTCTTGGGCATGACATTATTCGACTGGGACTCCCGCCTACCATTGACAATACCTTCGTCTGCTGCATCTCATCTGACACTCGTGTATAAGCAACAATCTTCCTGATGAATAAGACACTTGTGCAACACTTAGGAATCTTTAATCTGGAACCGTTTCTCCAGTCAGTGGCTCCTTCAGTCCAATGCAGAGAAAAAGTGGAAGATGAGGATTGGACTGAAGAAGCCGCTGGCACTGGACTGAAGAAGCCGCTGGCATTGGACTGAAGAAGCCGCTGGCATTGGACTGAAGAAGCCGCTGACATTGGACTGGAGAAACCATTGGCTGGCGAAACGTTTCCAGAATAAAGATTCCCAGAGTGTTGCACAAGTGTCTTATCATCATGTCGGCTTTTTTTAAAGCGTTTATTTAAACCAATTTTCTTGCCTGTGCTTCACGTTCTTGTAGACTTCGGTGCTCACCACCTGTTCCAAGGCTGAGAGAATGATTACCTCGTCTCCCACTGTACATATTTCTAATCTTCAGATTATTTCCTTGTAACTGTATTGATAAAGCCACTGGATGGCGGGACGACTATAAAGTAAATATGCCCAGATGTTGCATGGGTCTAATTCAACATCACATTTTTCTTCCCTTTTCAAGGATAATTTAATCCCTAAAACAGGGATTAAATTAAAATCTCAGTGTGTTATATACACTGAGAGATATACACCTCTCGGGGTACGTAGGTTCTTGCTTAGCCTATGCAAATTAGTAAATACGTAAGTTTATTCAGTATACACAAATACAGTTACATAGATTATCATACATAACAGCATATGTGTAGAGAACCCAAAAAAGTCAGACTTAAATTATTTTTTACCGAAATTGTTCAAATATTTTTAACTGCCATGTAATTAAGTCGTTAGCGATGTTATACATAAAACTATGCAATAGGTGTTATTTTACTTCATGTATCGTATTACGAATATAACGTCGTAAGTTTCATCCTCCTGTGTGCAAGTTATTTGCGTGTATTTCAATTATTCCTCTCATTCTCTCACCTTATAGCCAGAGGAACGTTCTGCTCGCCGATAGCTGAAAGTAGCGCTGAGAAGTGGACCAACCAGTCTATCCTATAGGTGACCACTATCTCCTGCAGGCACTTGAAATCCAGGATGTCTCCGAACACATAGGGTCCTAAAAAAAAAAGTGGTATGAACAGAGGCGGCGGAAAATTATTATTATTAATATTATTATTATTATTATTATTATTATTATTATTATTATTATTATTATTATTATTATTATTATTATTATTATAGGAGGAGCGCCTAATCCATAGGGGTCAAATCGATGTTGCAATATTTGAGAAAGAAATGTGATGAGGAATAAACAGGTGAGAACTGAACAACCAGCTATACAATACAGACATGACAGCTGAACAACCAGCTATACAATACAGACGTGACAGCTGAACAACCAGCTATACAATACAGACGTGACAGCTGAACAACCAGCTATACAATACAGACGTGACAGCTGAACAACCAGCTATACAATACAGACGTGACAGCTGAACAACCAGCTATACAATACAGACGTGACAGCTGAACAATCAGCTATACAATACAGACGTGACAGCTGAACAACCAGCTATACAATACAGACGTGACAGCTGAACAACCAGCTATACAATACAGACGTGACAGCTGAACAACCAGCTATACAATACAGACATGACAGCTGAACAACCAGCTATACAATACAGACGTGACAGCTGAACAACCAGCTATACAATACAGACGTGACAGCTGAACAACCAGCTATACAATACAGACGTGACAGCTGAACAATCAGCTATACAATACAGACGTGACAGCTGAACAACCAGCTATACAATACAGACGTGACAGCTGAACAACCAGCTGTACAATACAGACGTGACAGCTGAACAACCAGCTATACAATACAGACGTGACAGCTGAACAATCAGCTATACAATACAGACGTGACAGCTGAACAACCAGCTATACAATACAGACGTGACAGCTGAACAACCAGCTATACAATACAGACGTGACAGCTGAACAACCAGCTATACAATACAGACGTGACAGCTGAACAACCAGCTATACAATACAGACGTGACAGCTGAACAACCAGCTATACAATACAGACGTGACAGCTGAACAACCAGCTATACAATACAGACATGACAGCTGAACAACCAGCTATACAATACATACGTGACAGCTGAACAACCAGCTGTACAATACAGACGTGACAGCTGAACAATCAGCTATACAATACAGACGTGACAATTGAACAACCAGCTATACAATACAGACGTGACAGCTGAACAACCAGCTATACAATACAGACGTGACAGCTGAACAACCAGCTATACAATACAGACGTGACAGCTGACAACCAGCTATACAATACAGACGTGACAGCTGAACAACCAGCTATACAATACAGACATGACAGCTGAACAACCAGCTATACAATACAGACATGACAGCTGAACAACCAGCTATACAATACAGACGTGACAGCTGAACAACCAGCTATACAATACAGACGTGACAGCTGAACAACCAGCTATACAATACAGACGTGACGGCTGAACAACCAGCTATACAATACAGACGTGACAGCTGAACAACCAGCTATACAATACAGACATGACAGCTGAACAACCAGCTATACAATACATACGTGACAGCTGAACAACCAGCTGTACAATACAGACGTGACAGCTGAACAATCAGCTATACAATACAGACGTGACAGCTGAACAACCAGCTATACAATACAGACGTGACAGCTGAACAACCAGCTATACAATACAGACATGACAGCTGAACAATCAGCTATACAATACAGACGTGACAGCTGAACAACCAGCTATACAATACAGACATGACAGCTGAACAACCAGCTATACAATACAGACGTGACAGCTGAACAACCAGCTATACAATACAGACGTGACAGATGAACAACCAGATATACAATACAGACGTGACAGCTGAACAACCAGCTATACAATACAGACGTGACAGCTGAACAACCAGCTATACAATACAGACGTGACAGCTGAACAACCAGCTATACAATACAGACGTGACAGCTGAACAACCAGCTATACAATACAGACGTGACAGCTGAACAACCAGCTATACAATACAGACATGACAGTTGAACAACCAGCTATACAATACAGACGTGACATACTAAACAATAATGCAATTGAAGATAATTGTGTGAAGCCAGACACGAGCTGAATAACAAGTCGTTATTGTGATAAGGCTTTACAAAGTTCCACATAATACCTTTCACGTAAACAAAATAAAACAAAGGAATTAACACGGCTGGCAAAAAAAAAAAAAAGTAGCAAGCCTAGTGGGAATTAACCCTGACAATAATATGTAGATTAGAACACTACAATATCTGTCCTAGTACATATTAAGATGATGTCAAACATCCATACACTGAAACTGACTGCAGTAGAAGAGGCACAGACTATAAGAAATATCCTACCTTCGAAATGATGGAACAATTTCGAGCCTCGCCTCAGGGAGAGAAAAAACTTATATAAACTGATTCCAAAGTGTGTGTGTGTAACAGATTCAACGCTCTCTTCCCATGCAGGTTACAGTATACTGTATATTTATATATCGACTCAGAGAAAGACTGGACAGTGTATATACACCAAGAAGTGGATCTTACAGAGTATACACCGAGAAGTGTCTTTCAAAGTATGTATATACACTTAGGTGTGTGTATCTAGCAAGATGTGTATTCTTTTATATATACCGAGGTGTGTAGAAAGGTCTTATCCCGATTTTTGGCATAAAAACAACTTTCTTATTAGTATACAAGTAAATTGCGCACTCAATACATTCAGTGGAGAGGCCATAAATCTAGTTAGGTCTCGTGTTCTGCTTCATTATACTGAATTTAGTTAATACTCCGGGTTCTTCTGCCAGGTATAACCTCCGTTTGTCATCTAGGTATAACTTACCTTTGCCATCTAGGTATAACCTCCCTCTGTCATCTAGGTATAACCTCCCTTTATCATCTAGGTATAACCTCCCTTTGTCATCTAGGTATAACCTCCCTCTGTCATCTAGGTATAACCTCCCTTTGTCATCTAGGTATAACCTTCCCCTGTCATCTAGGTATAACCTCCCTTTGTCATCTAGGTATAACCTCCCTCTGTCATCTAGGTATAACCTCCCTCTGTCATCTAGGTATAACCTCCCTTTGTCATCTAGGTATAACCTCCCTTTTCATCTAGGTATAACCTCCCTTTGTCATTTAGGTTAGTCATCCAAGTAGTTTACGTTATCACAGTAGCTGTATTGTGAATCCGTACCCATGGTGTGGGTGGTAGTCAAAATATTAGAGGCACTCTTTAAAAGTTTATAATCTGGTTACAATCGTAATGCATTGTTTATACAGACATGAAGTCAGTCATAAAAAACATTATAATGTAGTTTATATGTGGTTTTTAATTGTACTATTTTAACAGGTATGGTTGAATTTAGAAAAGTTTAAGTGGTTTTGAGTTATTTACAGTAGGCAAAGTCAGTGTAATTTTCCAGAATGGCTGGTAATGTGCCATTGTGGATAAGTTACTTTAATAATTCTCCAATATATAAGCAAGAGTTGTCTCTGATTTTTTTTGCATTCCAGCATAATGACGCAGGGTGTGACAATGATTCATCAGGTAAAGTTTACATTTAGTTACGGCTACATCAGGTGGTGATGCAACCTCCCAGAGGTACTTGCGACACAACTGAAGCCGGGAATGAAGGTCTTTCTGTTTTATTGTCTTCATCTATGTATATTAATCTCCCTATTATACAGACTAATTTAAATACTAAACATGATACCAGAGAGTTGCTGTCATGCTTTGGCAGACAAATGTGCACTCTTCACCGAATATTAACTAAAGCCTCCATTAACTATAGGTAAGTCGACTACCTTCAGTGAGGATTGAATCAGATTCTCTATTAAGAAAATAGGAACATTCTTATTATTATGTTAAATAACAAGCGATAAATCTATATGGGTCATACAGATACTGAACCTTTTGAAACATACTCAAATTACTGTCTAGTCTCAGGAAATTATAACATATGCTACGTATATGGGGAGCTCCCAAACTCATTACTTGCCCTTTATTAAACTTGACCAACAAAAATACATTTCACCCTGTCTCTCACTAGTTGTTTGTGCTAAACCTTTAAGAGGATGGTCCTAAACCATCACCTCCAAAGAATCAAGTCCTTTCCATCGCCCCTCCCCTTTCCCCAATCCTGGTTGCATGACATTACGCATATGGAGAGAAGATAAGTGGGAGCATCATTGCATGGCCACGGCAGCAGCGACCACTGGTTTACCCGTGTGCTGGTCTCGCTGCTCTTGTGTGCCTTAACTTTCCTAATAGACAAATTCTGAGTAAACTTGAAAATTGAGTAAACCTGTAAACGAGTAGCGGGATCAAAGACCATTTGCCTAACAGGAAGCTTCCATGCTATTTTCTGAATATGAGAATGTAAGGTACCTAACTATAATTCAGTCTTAATATTCTGGTAAGTGCTTCGCTAAACTCTATGCTCACGGAGCCCAATCATTATATGATGTGCTTGGCTGCTGTAATGATTCACAACACTGAATTTGTACTAAATTCGTTTCAAATCTTTAGTGTTAAACCCTAGGAGTCAAAGCCTAGGTGACAAAAACCTAGGTGACAAGTCCCAGATGTCAAAACCTATGTTTAATCATCTGTCGAAATACTAAGATATTAAATCAGATCACTCTAGATCCCACGAGACGGAAAACCGCACTCAACAGCCACCCAACACCAATGGATCTCGGCTCAAGTAACCAGACACAAATATCTATGACTTGATGTTCCGTAGCTCGATTGGAGGTGAACTCAGCTCACACACTGAGGTCCGTGGTTCGATCCCCGGTACGGGTGGAAGCATTAGAACGTGTTACCTGTTGTCCTTGTTCACCTAGCAGTGAAATAGGTACCTGGTGTTAGTCGACTGGTGTGGGTCGCATCCTAAGAACAAAATTGACCAAATCTGCCGGAAATGCTGTGCATAACAATGAGCTTTCTATATAGTAGTATGGCATTACCTGGAGTTTACCTGGAGAGAGTTTCGGGGGTCAACGCCCCCGCGGCCCGGTCTGTGACCAGGCCTCCTGGTGGATCAGCGCCTGATCAACCAGGCTGTTGCTGCTGGCTGCACGCAAACCAACGTACGAGCCACAGCCCGGCTGATCAGGAACTGACTTTAGGTGCTTGTCCAGTGCCAGCTTGAAGACTGCCAGGGGTCTGTTGGTAATCCCCCTTATGTGTGCTGGGAGGCAGTTGAACAGTCTCGGGCCCCTGACACTTATTGTATGGTCTCTTAACGTGCTAGTGACACCCCTGCTTTTCTGGGAGTGCATCGTCGCAGTCGGGTAACGCGACGGCTGGTTTGAGACTCATGACGCGGTCATCCCGGTATGTTAAGTCTTTTGCTTTCGTAGTGAGTGATTTTCGTGTGCAAGTTCGGTACTAGTCCCTCTAGGATTTTCCAGGTGTATATAATCATGTATCTCTCCCTCCTGCGTTCCACGGAATACAGGTTTAGAAACCTCAAGCGCTCCCAGTAATTGAGGTGTTTTATCTCCGTTATGCGCGCCGTGAAAGTTCTCTGTACATTTTCTAGGTCGGCAATTTCACCTGCCTTGAAAGGTGCTGTTAGAGTGCAGCAATATTCCAGCCTAGATAGAACAAGTGACCTGAAGAGTGTCATCATGGGCTTGGCCTCCCTAGTTTTGAAGGTTCTCATTATCCATCCTGTCATTTTTCTAGCAGATGCGATTGATACAATGTTATGGTCCTTGAAGGTGAGATCCTCCGACATAATCACTCCCAGGTCTTTGACGTTGGTGTTTCGCTCTATTTTGTGGCCAGAATTTGTTTTGTACTCTGATGAAGATTTAATTTCCTCATGTTTACCATATCTGAGTAATTTAAATTTCTCATCGTTGAACTTCATATTGTTTTCTGCAGCCCACTGAAAGATTTGGTTGATGTCCGCCTGGAGCCTTGCAGTGTCTGCAATGGAAGACACTGTCATGCAGATTCGGGTGTCATCTGTAAAGGAAGACACTGTGCTGTGGCTGACATCCTTGTCTATGTCGGATATGAGGATGAGGAACAAGAATACTTTCATTGATGTCAGCTATGGTCTATATACGTTGTATATGTAGAAATAAAGATTATTATTATTATTATTATTATTATTATTATTATTATTATTATTATTATTATTATTATTTGTAATCAAACCTTATCTCTAACAGAGTGAGACAAAAAGAAATTCTGAGAATATAATTAATGCTGTTAAAAGATTCCACACCAGGTGTGGTTTGAATTGTAAAGCTGATGTACCTTGAATACATTCGATTCCTGCTTGATTGTGGGGGAGCCCTGCTGCCCGCTTGATATACCGTTCCTCTCCTTGAATATATACCAGAGACAAAGATCAAGACCACACTATCTTGCATCATGAACACTGATACCCTTTCCACATCATTATACCATATTCCTACAAAAGAACCTAATTACATCACGATCCAAGCTTTGTGTTTAAACACAAATTTGATGCCAAAACTCCTGTAAATATTCGCGTCACATATTCCTTTCTCTGCCTAGCTTGTACTGATGGCCAGTTAGTATTCCCACTGTCGTGAAACTCAAGGATGACTTCGACCAATAGAGCTGTGGAGCTCGCATTTACTAAACGAGATTTGGAATCTAAACTTGATTATTTGTTGTACTCCTACTACTCTAATGTGTGAATACTTTCAGTTTTGATAAATTGTGAAAACAAACCTACCGGGATTTGTTAATCACCATGAATGTTAGAATGAGTTAATGTGAAATTGGTGTAGATTATGATGCTATTTTATGGATCTGTTTACAACTGAGTGAAATGGCTAATAGCTGGGTGAACTGGCTTATGTGTGAATAATTTAGCTTACAACTGAGCGACCTAAGTCATAGAAAAATGCAATATCTCACAACTAAAGCAAATTAGCTTGCAATTAGATTATCTTAATTAGACTTCACCTTGAGTGAATTAACTTAGTTACTAAGAGTGAAACCTCCGTAACAAGGTAAGGAAATGTCATACCTGACTTGACGATGTCCTTCGTAGGCTTGACGATGTCAGACATAATGACGTTCTCGATGCCATACTTCTCTCTGAGGAGGCGTGCTAGTCCTGTACCCAGTTGACCCAGACTGCCTGTAACACCACCAGGAAGAATATAGTGGATCTACCCATCATCAACCCCGCGACCCGGTCTCAGACAGGGCCTCATAAATTGGAGAGTGAATATTACACAAAATATTAGCACTCCTGCCAGACTACAAAACGTTTAACAGGATTCCAGTTCATCCTCTCATGACAGGACACATTCATATGACAAAATGATAGTAACTACCTGGATGAATGCTGTCTACCAACCTACTGCCAGATTGCAAAACATTTAACAGACTTTAGTTTCACTCTCGCATGACAGAACGGTAATACCTCTCTCCAGACATAATGAAAATGGTGTACAATACCGTCAAGAAAATGAGAAACAATTGGGTAAGCTTATTGTTAAAACGAGTTTTTGTGCTGGCCAGTCCTTAAGGGACAGACTGAACATATCTTTACCTCACTACTACTTATGACATCTCGATTTATCCTTCGCATCCTACTAGGCCCAGTTGCAAAAACGTTTAACAGACTTTTAGGTTTCACTACTCTCGTATGGCTACGTAATAACCTCTTCTTTGAAAATAATTGCCAATTGTACTAATTACTCAAAAAAAGCGAAATTTGGAGAGTTAATTGTTAAAACGAGGTTTTTGTTCTGGCCAAAGTCTTAAAGAGAAGTGAACACATCTTTACCTAGGTCGCCATTAAATGAGATCTCCGATTTAGTTCCTTGTGCAGTTGACAGAAGAAACCCCAACTGTGATAGCGCAAATTTATAATATAAGATATCATAAACATCTTATATGTGTATTATTATATACTCTAGTATATACTATCTATCAACTATTTTTAAAATATATTATTTACTCTATTATTTATCACAAAAAAGCTAACATGGATATGTAACATTTACAGAATATATAATAATAGATATTATATTTATATTATTCATGATCACAATGAACATATTTAAAAGAAAACACACTCTGGATAGAGAAATCCAAGGTCGTGACTTCAATTATGTCAAGGCCAATGATAATGAGTGTCAGAAACCTTGGTCTTATACGGGTGGCTGTTAGTTATATAATAATCTAAATAGCATAAAATATTATAATATATATTTATATATACATATATAATATAATATATATATATATATATATATATATATATATATATATATATATATATATATTATATATATATATATATATATATATATATATATATATATATATATATATATATATATATATATATATATATAAATGCCCAGGCATGCCAACCAGTACCCAGTGCCTGAAAGGCTGAATATTTTTTAAGGCATTACAAGACCGCCAACATACTCCAACATGGGCCTAACGTACACGGTGTAGTGCCATGAATGATTTCTTATTTAGATGTCGAAATGTTATTCTCAGGTTCGCCAGGCGCCCATATGCTGCAGCAGTTATTTGATTGATGTGCGCCTCAAGATGTGCTCAGTATACTGCTCACCCCAAGATCCTTTTCTTTAAGTGAGGTTCTCAGTCTTGGATCCCCTAGCCTGTACTCCGTCTGCAGGTCTTCGTTGACCTTCCCCAATCTTCATGACTTTGCACTTGGCGAGGCTAAACTCCAGGAGCCAGTTGTTAGACCAGGCTTGCAGCCTGTCCAGACCCCTTTGTAGTCCTACCTGATCCTCATCCACTTGAATTCTCCGCATCAGCTTCACATCGTCTGCAAACAGGGACACTTCTGAATCTATAGTTTCCATCCTGTCATTAACACATACCAGAAACAGCATTGGCCTGTACTCACCTAATTGTGGTTGCAGTGTCGAGTCGTAACTCCTGGACCCAAGTATGTGTGTGCCAGATAGAATTTTTTTTCCTTCTCGTGATTACCTCTTCGTAGATCCAGAAGCAAGTATATTACACCTATTGTATCCCCCTCATCTTTATTAATTCCCATCACCGTTAGTACTTAGTTGCAACTAACAGTGTTCACTAGATCTAGAACACACTACCTCAAAGTGCCAAAGAGGGGGGGGGGGAGCGAGAGAGGGGTTGTTATGAGAGAGGTGGAGGGGAAGGGAGGAGAGGGGAAAGAAGTGGATTAGGGGGGAGGGGAGGACAGTAGTGACGGAGAGGGAGGGGAGTGGAGGGGAAGGTCCGTGAGTGCCAAATAACTGATGCCAATTGGGTCATGAAGGATAAGTGCCAGAGTTGTGTCGCAGTGGCTGGCCTTGACACCACCACACCTACATCACACCTGACACCCCTGTTAGAACATTGTCACCCTGGGTGAAGGACAAAATGTGCTGACGAAGTTGGTAAGAAAATCACAGGAACAATTATTACATAAAGTTTCGCTCAGGACGAGATTTGTCAAATCAAGGAAGAAGCATTCTTGTTACTGGTTGATTTGTCAGTTAAAAAAAAAAATCACCTGACACGGTATTTGTGATATAATGATCCGTTTAGTGGTGCCTTCCCTGTCGTGTACTGCTATAGGCTGTGGTGCCTACTAAAATACATGTGAAGGTAGTAGATGTTGACCCCAAGACGGGCCAGTGCAGAGCTGCGGCCGCCTTGCTGCTTTGAATCCAGGCAAGAGGGCAATGAGGAGGAATATATTGTGGTGTTGCTGAAGGTTGCTGAGGGCCATTAAGGCTGCATACAACCTGTTCACCACCAGACGAGAAAACTTTAATCCCTGAAATAGGGATTCAACTCTCAGGATATGTACGCTGAGAGACACTTCTCGGTGTGTATATATCCTGTTACTGGAGGTACAGGATGAATTATACACTGCTGCATCATGTTCACTAGTTTTGCTCCACCACGCAATAATAAATGGAATCTGTTCTATGGCGCTGAAACTAGACTGCTATTGCCTCTAATATTTGCTTCTCAAGATTGCTGTTTTCAAGCATTTTCTTCTCTAGATTGCTACAGGTCTAAACATTTTCCTCTATAGATTGCTACAGCTTCTAAACATTATTTTCTCTCGATTAATTAATATTGCTTTTAAGCATTTTCGTCTACATCAGTCGTCCTCTTTCTTGACTATCTTGGCATTCTTCCAAGCCATGACGTGGACGGGTTTATTGGGGTGGATTATAACTTAAAAAAGAGGAACAATGAGTAAGTCTAGTGGTCCATGCTAGGCAAGTCTTTCTCACACTCAGCCATTCCCAATCATGTATGTGTCCAACTTATTTTTAAAGGTACTCAAAGAACTAGCATCGATGACACTTATACACCAATTTGTTCCCCTCGTCTATACTACCATTATTAATCATGGGTATTAATCATAGCGGTCATACAACACATTGTAGGCAATCAGGTTTAATGATGGACTGACCACATCGACTCAATGTTGAGGGACTGATTACCTCATTCTCCTCCTGTTCTTCCTGGAGTTTACCTGGAGAGAGTTCCGGGGGTCAACGCCCCCGCGGCCCGGTCTGAGACCAGGCCTCCTGGTGGATCAGAGCCTGATCAACCAGGCTGTTGCTGCTGGCTGCACGCAAACCAACATACGAGCCACAGCCCGGCTGATCCGGAACTGACTTTAGGTGCTTGTCCAGTGCCAGCTTGAAGACTGCCAGGGGTCTGTTGGTAATCCCCCTTATGTGTGCTGGGAGGCAGTTGAACAGTCTCGGGCCCCTGACACTTATTGTATGGTCTCTTAACGTGCTAGTGACACCCCTGCTTTTCATTGGGGGGATGGTGCATCGTCTGCCAAGTCTTTTGCTTTCGTAATGAGTGATTTTCGTGTGCAAGTTCGGTACTAGTCCCTCTAGGATTTTCCAGGTGTATATAATCATGTATCTCTCCCTCCTGCGTTCCAGGGAATACAGGTTTAGGAACCTCAAGCGCTCCCAATAATTGAGGTGTTTTATCTCCGTTATGCGCGCCGTGAAAGTTCTCTCTACATTTTCTAGGTCGGCAATTTCACCTGCCTTGAAAGGTGCTGTTAGTGTGCAGCAATATTCCAGCCTAGATAGAACAAGTGACCTGAAGAGTGTCATCATGGGCTTGGCCTCCCTAGTTTTGAAGGTTCTCATTATCCATCCTGTCATTTTTCTAGCAGATGCGATTGATACAATGTTATGGTCCTTGAAGGTGAGATCCTCCGACATGATCACTCCCAGGTCTTTGACGTTGGTGTTTCGCTCTATTTTGTGGCCAGAATTTGTTTTGTACTCTGATGAAGATTTAATTTCCTCATGTTTACCATATCTGAGTAATTGAAATTTCTCATCGTTGAACTTCATATTGTTTTCTGCAGCCCACTGAAAGATTTGGTTGATGTCTGCCTGGAGCTTTGCAGTGTCTGCAATGGAAGACACTGTCATGCAGATTCGGGTGTCATCTGCAAAGGAAGACACGGTGCTGTGGCTGACATCCTTGTCTATGTCGGATATAAGGATGAGGAACAAGATGGGAGCGAGTACTGTGCCTTGTGGAACAGAGCTTTTCACCGTAGCTGCCTCGGACTTTACTCTGTTGACGACTACTCTCTGTGTTCTGTTAGTGAGGAAATTATAGATCCATCGACCGACTTTTCCTGTTATTCCTTTAGCACGCATTTTGTGCGCTATTACGCCATGGTCACACTTGTCGAAGGCTTTTGCAAAGTCTGTATATATTACATCTGCATTCTTTTTGTCTTCTAGTGCATTTAGGACCTTGTCGTAGTGGTCCAATAGTTGAGACAGACAGGAGCGACCTGTTCTAAACCCATGTTGCCCTGGGTTGTGTAACTGATGGGTTTCTAGATGCGTGGTGATCTTGCTTCTTAGGACCCTTTCAAAGATTTTTATGATATGGGATGTTAGTGCTATTGGTCTGTAGTTCTTTGCTGTTGCTTTACTGCCCCCTTTGTGGAGTGGGGCTATGTCTGTTGTTTTTAGTAACTGTGGGACGACCCCCGTGTCCATGCTCCCTCTCCATAGGATGGAAAAGGCTCGTGATAGGGGCTTCTTGCAGTTCTTGATGAACACAGAGTTCCATGAGTCTGGCCCTGGGGCAGAGTGCATGGGCATGTCATTTATCGCCTGTTCGAAGTCATTTGGCGTCAGGATAACATCGGAT